CTATTTGATTGATAAAAACAAGTCATTTTATGAATTTATTATATGAACCCGTTTCTATAATTTAGATTCAATTTTTTATTAATGTTTTAATGTAGTAGATCAATAAACCCATTACATCATGGATTTCACAAAGTACTACCCTATTATACATGACCGCTTGTGGAAGGAAGTGTAAGATTGCAAGTCCACATCCCAAAACGGAAGGCACACTGCCATCTCCTGGATCAAAGCCAATAATACAGCCCTTTAAGAAAGGACAATACAGCTTCAAGTAAAATGCAGGTCGGCGAAAATTATGCAAATACGACTCTTTGCTTTTCTTCTAACAAATGTTAAGGGTAATGTAATTAAAATCGATGTTGATCACTATAGTAATGAAAATCCTAGTCCTGAATTCAGGGCATTTACAGATAGTTAAGTTGACCTGTTAACAAGATCTTCCAAGTTCATCTAAGGAACATCATTTCCTCATGTGATTTTCTGAATTTGTACCAGACCTGGATTCAATTTCTCTGGCAGTTATTTTTATATGAATTGATTAGTGAAAACTTTGTTCTGTTTTGCTCTATCAAATGAAATGACAAATCAAGTGTGACAAAAAATGAGATGACACACATACAATGTAGCCTTTGTCACATTTCAGACTGCCAACGCTAGAGTTTACTAGACAGACTACACACAGAGTTTGAACATATTGACTGACTTACTCTGATCATCCGAATCAGGCTTTCTTCAATGGAAAAGAATGTAAGAGGGTGAGTAAAAGGGTAAAGTCAAATCCCAGGTACCAGTTGGAACAGACACAAAACCAAAAATAATTAAAGCCAACATTTGGGAAATCATAAGCATTTTCTGCATTCTTGTGTTTACTGGACTTTTTCCTTTGGGAGGGTACTCCCATTGTTCTGGAAACATGATTTATATTTTGGTCAAGCATGCCTAAAGCAAGTGCCTTCCCAGTCTTTGAGGGAAGTCCTGAAGGTAGGCATGATCCAAGTGCAAGTGCAGAGGCTGCAGCCTGAAATGCTGAGGAGCTTCTAGTAAAGCCCATCTTCACAGACAGCTGGGAACCTCTGCCAAGACTGTGAGAGGACAGTAACTAGTTTTTGCTTTCTCTGGCTTAGGCCAGCTGGTAGAGAATTCTGGACTTGAGGAGGGCCTCTGTGCAAAGTAGCAGTGGGCTCCAGGAACACAGATGCCTGTCCTCTTCTCTGCCCCATAATCTTCTGAAGACATCTTCAAGTATTCAGTAACGTGTTAGAGGAGTATGCCTTCTAGTATCACCTGTGTTTGGGAGGCTAACAGAGGGGCCTGTGCCCACATTTGGGTTAAGCAGGCCTGGGAGGAGCAGAAGCCAAGAGACGAGGCTAAGAGGTGGCCATGGCAGGGAAGCCTGCAGCAGTCACCGACAAGATTGCTGACAAGATGCAGTCAGGATGGATTTGTGCACGTGTAAACACTCCCTGGGCTGAGTGTTGCTGGCAACTGATAAAAGATTGATGTCGTCCAGACATACAGGGAGGTTCAGGGTATGTTTTGGGGCATCAAAGGGATGAATGACCCCTGGAGCTGGAGCCCTTGAGGATATCCAGGTGACAGTTATATGTCAATCTGAACCTAGTACTCTCTGGATTCTGCATAATGGGGGCTTCAGACAGCCTTGCTATTTGGTTTGTGGAAGGGTTGAACGCAGTGGGGGCTGCGTTAGACATCCTCCTGAACTTCCCTCTCCACTAACCTCAATCTAGTCATTACTGAGGTAATAACCAGAGCTTTGTTATGAGTGCCTGGCACTGAATCAATTCAAAACATTCACCCTAGAGACCCACAGATACTTATGTCAAGTTGTAAGCCTGGAAACTCAGTGTCTCAAGGCCCCACTCAGGCAAAACTCTGAGCCTGTGGGAGATAGACAGGTCCTGCTTACCTTCCTCTTCTTCTCCATTTCCCCAGTTAGATCACTCCTTTTTCACTCTGGATTACCTGAACTCTACCTTGGCTTTGGCCTCCCACGGCCTGCTCTTGCATTCCTTCAGAATTCCCTTGGGCTTTATCAGATAAAATCATCTGTCAATGGACCAATTAGCTCACATTACTTATTTCAAATCATAATATTGTTATTTAATAATTTGCCTGGGCCGAGATAAAACTTCGTGTCTCCCAGAGGTCTGGAATAGGTTTTTCAGGCATTGCAGCAAGCCAGAGGGGAGAGATATTTGGCAAAGGGGCCCTCTGGCACTTGTTGGTGGCTGTAATCCAGGGCTGGAGCCAAGGACATGGACAAGTCTGTAACTAAGCAGAGCTTCCACCATGACCAGACTCTCAGGATAATACTGCCTTGGGTCTTGAATTGAAGGCTTTTAGGGCTAACATCAGGTTAATAGCTGGAAAAACAGGCTGGCATATCAGTTGTCTCTATTTATTGCTGAGTAATAAATACATGAGTGTTTTGCTTTGGTCCTCTCACCATGCTAAGAAGCAATGGGCAGCCACTAATCACAAAGAATTCAAGGATGTTTAGCATTCACAAAAAGCTTGGTACAAAGAATAGAAAAGAGGATTGATCGTGGTATAATCTCTGGGATATCAAACCAATGACCACTGAACTATGACTTCTTGGTCTCAGCTGGTCTTTTGCCATTGCAAATGCACTACTCTACCATAGTTCGGAATCTGCCCTGACTTTGTAGTTTTGCTCCAATGTTACAGAACGTGCATATTCGATTACCCCAGTTGAGAATAGCAAAAATCACTGTATTTTACTATTTAAATGAGTCCTTAAAATAAACATCAAGACAATTTTTGATGGAAACTAGGACGCAGGGAAAGAACAGGTATCTCTGTATGCCAGTAGTTAAGACAGACCTGAGTATCATGTACAGACTCAGCCATTTCCCACCACAAACACACGTACATGAACATGCGCACAAGCATATACACGTGAACCTCCTCCCTGTCACAGGAAGGACATTTCTGCAAACTCATTTCTGACTGCATTTTTGTGACATCGCTTCCTCTTCAAAGTCCAGTCTGATATTTTAGATCCAGGTCCCATATACCGAAGTATTAAATAGAGTAAGAATTCCCCTTATACACACCCTCTAGTCCCTAGAGAGACCTTGAGACACAGTAGAAAATGGAGCTCTGCTTGTTGTAAGGTGGAGTTTCTGCCGTGGCCTTCGCTGGGCAATGACTGAGGTGTGCTCCTGCCTAGATACTCCCCCAGTGATCTCAGAGTCTCCCTGTGTGACCATGGCACAGGATGTCAGGCAACCATGACAGAGTGAATCAGGCTCAGAATGGGGCCCAAACAAACACTAACAACTTTTCCCATGTGCCAACTACCCAATCTAACCACCACAGTGATGGGCACAGAGCGGGCCTGCAGGACCTGTCTGTGGTAGATTGAATGAACTAAAGAACTTATGTAGGACCAGCCATTACAAACTGTGTTGGCCACACTTCCTCCTTTCACCATTTCCTCTTCCTATGTTTCAATATTGGACAACACGATCAAAGAGTATACCTTTGCATTTGCTAGGTGTGCTTGAAGATCTGCTAAGAAATTAAAATTCACTTTCACTTTGATTCCTATCAATGTGCTTTCAGTCATGAACTGCTATTTTCTGAAGATCCAGTGGGTGGCAGTAATACCAAAGAAATGTCAGCTGCCAGCCTGCTTCTCCAGTGGTCCTGCTTTTGTGCTACCATGTTCAGCAGTGACTGTAGCATCGAAGAGACTGAGTGTCTAAATCAGACTGACTCTGCTTGATTCTCACCTTTGCAGGACATTCTATCTCTCAGAGCCTGTTTCTAGGATTGCGACGATATATGCAAAGCCCCTGGTACAGTGCCTAGCACACAACAGTATGTGTATAAGTGGCAGCTAATATTATCACTAAACCTGTTTAAACTGTTATGACTAATAAGAGAAAATCCTATTCCTGTTCCACACTCATTAATTATTCAAAAACCATTTAGGGGGAAAGAGCTATCTCAACACAATCCTGTAAAAGATAATTAATCTCCACTGATGGTGAAAAGGTGTTTTTTAATGTTCGAGGAAGTGCTTTGAACCAGACTTAAAAGGCTCTTTATCTGGATACTTCATTTCTTTTAGTGCTTGAATTCATTCATTTGTTTATTCAGGAAATATTTATTAACTTCATATTATGTGCCAAGTAACAAGTTTTGGAAATCATCTTTTGAAAACACACTGCATGTTTATAATCCCACTGGCATACGAACTAATTTTAGTTCCCACTGAATCTACATTCATCACGTCATCCATGCACACAAACTTCAGGACAACTCAATTGTTATATGATAGTGATAGCCTTCTTTTAAACTTAATATTGAAACTCATGGTTTAACAGAGGTCTGATTTTAAATTCAGCAACATATATACCAGTCACTATGATAGGCGTTACAAATACAAAAAAAAAGCCCTAGCCTCTGCCTTTGAGACTCTCAGAGCCTAGTGGGAGAATCAAACAGGTATCAACAATAATACGAGGTGACAAGGGCAATGATAGAAGCCCAAGATGCAGGACACTAAGTTCACCTGATGGGATGGAGGAAGGCATCCCCAAGAAAAAGACATCTAGGCTCAGACATGAAGGATTGGAAATGATCATCCAGGTGAACGTGGAAGAAAGCATGGTCCAGGCAGAGAACAGCTTAGAATGGAGGGGCGTAAGAATGGAGGGATTTGCAGGCAGTAGGGTGCTTGTGGGGGCTTGGTTATAGGGAGATGGGTGAGGTGATGGGAGCCATATCATGAAGGGCCTTCCATGCAGTGACAAAGAAGCCAGTTTTCTGAAAGTGATAGAGAGCCACTCAACGGGTTAAACAAAAGAGTGACATGTGATTTGAGTTTTAAGACCATTCTGGTAGCAATGATGAGGGGTCAGTTGCTGATGGTGTGGCTAGAACAGGAGACCAATTAGAAGAATACTGCAGGAATGTAGAAGTTAAATAATGAGCATCTAAACTAGTAATAATGGAAAACAGGCTAACATTTTTTATTTCAAATGCAAATAAAGTAAATCTTGGGATTTATCCTTCTTCAGTCCAGTACCTAAACAAGTAACACACATAAATAGTACAACCAGAGTAGTTCAAATAGCCATAGATTAAGAGTTAGAAGAAAGCATGTTCTGAACTTGCTCTATTTTTTAGCTCTGTAATCACAAACATTTACTGAGTCTCCCTTTTTTATGTTAAAAATGGCAATAACACTACCTGCCCTGACTACTTTATAAGTTTCTTCTAAGGACACATAATATGCAAAGGAACTGTTTTGCCTTTAGAATGCTTTTCTATATATCAAAATCAACTAATTAATGACTTGAGAAAAATTCAAGTCATTCAAAATTCAAAACATAAAGCTTATATATAAGCTATACATAAAAGACTAAATGTCAATGCTTGTTCATATACCATAAGACAATACATTTAGCAATGCATAACATTAATAAATTCTATCCTAAGTGTATTGCAAAACACTGAGGCTAAGCAAATTATGATCATTTCAGTAACTTATACTGTGAACTGGGGAAATTATCTTTGCAAATAGATTATTCCTCAAGCAACTATAAGCATAATATTATGCAACAAAAATTATCAATAGCTAAATAAATTTAAAAAAAAAATTGTACACCTGAAGCTCACTGGATTTTGTTAACCAATGTCACCATAAAAAATTAATAAAAAAATATTATTGACTATAAAAAAATTATCAACAGTGTAAAAGTTTTAAATTTGATTTATTGATGCTAACAGCTATATGATGGTGACCTAATATTTTTTTTAACAATCTGATAGCCTCTAAATTTAAGTTGGTTTTAACAACTTAAAGGATGCCCAAAATTTGCTAGATTGCTACTTAAACATTTAACTAAAATTGATTCTTGCTGTCGAATTCAATTAAACTGTATAAATGTCAGTGAAGGACCTAACCAGGTGCAAAGGACTGTGCCAGGGCTATGCAGAACTAAGATAAAGAGAACAAGAGCCCTGCTTTCAAAAGCTTATAGACACCACACTCACACACAACACATGTAGGCAAGCTACATGCTACTACTTCAAACATTCCTAGTTTTTAAATTGTTTATGCCTCAATTTAGATTATGTGTCTTAAGTTAATAGGTAACGTGGATACAAGGAAAAAAGCTGAAGCATTAAAATTTAAAGATGCTGTGACTCTTCCATTAACCTATATAAAAAACCCAATTAAAAGTATCTTTTCAACATAATACTAAAAACATATCCTGCAAATGATTTTGTTAGTGAACTGGCATGATGATATTAAAAAGTTTTATAAAGGAACAATCTAGTTACCTAAACTTCCTGTAAACAAATATAACTTTATTCACATGCTAATAAAGCAATCTGGTCATGTGGTCACAAAACTCATGAAAATATGATGTTACATTAACAGGGCACTAAAGACTGTATCTATATCTAACATTTAAATGACTTATAAAATACTGACCTTTACAAGTATACTTCATTATTTCTATTTTTATTTTCAGAAAAAGACATAAATAGTTCACTTGAATACATTTCTCATGAGTTAAATCACAATTCACTTTACAGTTAATCAACATATTCAAAGACAGTACTTTCTTGTATGATTTCATTATCTTAAAAGCAAAACACTTTCTGTAGAAAATTTATATACGAAAGTCAAAGACAATAATTTCAGTAAAAATGGGAATCAACCACCATATCTTTTCTTGAGTTCTTCAACAGAATTACCCTTCAATCCTGATTTGTCTATGTGATTGAATAATACATGTGTAACTGAAAAAGAAAAAAAAAAATTTTCATGTGAATCCTCATTTTTAAAAACTAAGAAACAAAAATTAGAGTAATCTGATCTGTCAAATGAAACTTTTACACCTGAAAGCAATAATCATTAGGATTATTTATAAATTTACTATTCAGATATTTAAAAAGCCAACCCCAAAACAGAAAATTATATGGCAATCCAATGATATTTCTTACGGGAATATTTTGCTTTCTAGTAAAAAATTTCCCCTATCTTCAACATTAATCTTACAGATTAAACTTAACTCATTCTGAGCTTCCTAAAGTTTTTACTCTATTTAACAAGTGTCCTTTTACTTATTATTATAATTGTTTTGCAAACTTAAATTTTATTTTAGAAAAAAATTTTATACCACTACTCTAAATTGAAAATTAGCAATAACATCTACAAAAATCATGTTTGATGGGCTAGTAATACATTTTTATAATATGTAATAAAATATATAACTATTAAAAGTTAAAAGATCTTATGAGCCATGTAAAATCTTTATCTTTCATACCAGTGAATGGTCAACACTCAACATTTTTGAAAATACTGTTATTGTTTATATATTTCTCAACATTTAAACTAGCTAACAGTGTTTAATGATAATGACAATAATAAAAGAGCACAGCAGCTAATATTTATTAAATGTTTAGTTACATAGCAGGAACCTTTCTAAGAGTTTCCCATGTTTAACTTAGTGGACAGTGATGACCCAACCAAGATGGTACTGTTGGTAAATCGTCTGAAGAACCAACTCACATTCTTTGAGTATACTTGAACTTATTACACTATAGTGGCAAGAAATTCATTCATTCGACACACTTAAACTAAGAGGTTATTAGGTACTAAGCTCTGTTGTATGCTGAAGCCTAGAGAACAGGGTAGATGAAGCTCCTGCCCTCATGGAGCCTTCCTCCTATCAGGGAGAGAAGTAACAAACATATCCATGAAACACTGTCAGCTAGTTACATATTACAAAGAAAAATAAAGCAGAGTAAGAAGACAGAGAGTGATGAGGAGGGAAGGCAGGCAGTTATTTTAACTAGGGCTGGTGAGGAAAGGTATCTCTGAGGTGGTGACGGTTAGGTGGAAATTCAAATGAAGTACGGTAAAAGATATGTGGGAAGATATTCCAGGCTAAGGGAACAGCCAAATGCAAAGCCCCTGAGGCTAAAATAAGTCTGGCAGTTCGGTATATTAAAAAAAAAAATCTAAGTGGTGTGAAGGGGCAGAGTGATTGAAAAAAGTGGTAGAAGATGAGGTCAGAATAGTAATTAGAGTAATACTTTTTAGAGAATTTCAGGGACTGTTTTTGATTCACTGAGGATAAGGCAGAAACTTCTTTTGGTTTAAATTATATTTAAAAATCTCTCTACATTACAAATATACTTCCCAAAGTACAATGTAAAGAGTATTTTTCATAGTGACTGAGACTCATTCAATGTCACTGCTAGAAACAAAGAAATAAGAAAGGAGCCATAAGTTTGTTTAGTCCAAGAGATCTGAAAATGGCACATTGAGTTTTCACTATTTTTAAATCTAAAAAAGTCTGGTACTTTGGCATTCTAATGATTTTTCTTTTTCCTAAAACTAGAATATAGTCCAAAACTCTGAGTAACTGAAGTTTCTGCAGTTGGATTTTACTTAAATTAGAGTTTCCCAAGATAGACACTTTCTGTCAAAGACTAATAGAGAAATAAGTAAGGGATCTAATTCTTCAGGCTCATCACCTGCCACTCTTTACCAACTAACTCTACAACCTAGCCACACTGCATTTTTAATTTTCTCAACTCAATTTTCTTTCCTGCCTCAGAGCCTATGCACACATTCTTTCCTCAGTCTAAAACTCTTCCCTACCCCCTTCATCTAATTGACTCTTGTACTTTGAGGATCCGGCTTAAATCAAACAAGCTCAAGGAAATTAGCTCTCACAAAATGGGATGTACCTCCTGTGTACCCATGCCTCCTATGGCAGGTGCTCAACCATTACTCTTATTATTGTATTTTCAAGTAAAAGAGCCCAGATTAGAGCAGGACTGTCTAAGTTTAAATCCTGAGTCTGACTTCCTAACTACATGACCTTGGTCACAGTTCCTTATCTCTTTATGCCTTGGTTTTCTTCTTTGCAAAAAAAATCATACCGACACCTCATAATGTTACTGTCGGGATTTAATTAATTTTACTTAAACTGTAATTAAATTAATATGATTGTAATTAATTTAAATTTAATTGTATGTACTTTGGACATAGTAAATAGTCAATAAATGTTTGCTATAGTTGGTTAAAAAAGTAAGGGAACAATACAAGAATAAAGGAATATGGAAAAGCTTTCTTCACAGAACTTACTTTTTTTCTCAGGTTCTGACATAAACATCACTGCCATATCAAACCTTTTTAATTTAGAAAGCCTTTGTAAGATTTCAAAGATGAGTGATGGCTTTTCTTTCCTGAAATAAACCAAATTTAAAACAAATGATTCACTAAAAGTAGCTCATTTAATTCTTTACTTATACAATATGTAAGATCTTCATTTATCTTTTTTCCCTGGATGCTACCTATATTTTAAGTGCACAAATGAAGAAATTTATCAAGTCAATTGAAGAAATTATAAAATTCTAAAATATGAGGCTTAGCATGGACATTATTAATCTGCTATAAACTGTCACTTCTATACCCTACTTTTCTCTTTAAAAAAATTTAAAGTCTTTTTTCCTTCTATTTAATCATTTCCCTTATTACTGTTTGCACTTGTCACCTTTACAACTTCTGCAACAGTAAAATTTACTATCAAGTCAATTGAAGAAATTATAAAATTCTAAAATATGAGGCTTAGCATGGACATTATTAATCTGCTATAAACTGTCACTTCTATACCCTACTTTTCTCTTTAAAAAAATTTAAAGTCTTTTTTCCTCCTATTTAATCATTTCCCTTATTACTGCTTGCACTTGTCACCTTTATAACTTCTGCAACAGTAAAATTTACTAGAAAACTGCTATACAGAAGGTTGTAATATGATATCAAAATGAATGAATTTCCCAAACCATCAGAAATAACATAGCATTACAATATGAAAGTATACCTAAAAAAATTCAACTTACTCAATGTAAAAGTCGTGCAGAATTTTAATGATTTGATTGAATACATCTGGATCTAGATTTTTCTGAAACAACTTAGGATACAAGGATGGTTCAATTTGCTTGGAAAAAACATAGTTAGAAAATTAAATTATGGCGACATGCACATATCATAAATTATATAATAATTACTAAGGTAAATATAGTAAAGAATAACTACTATGCATTAGTACTTAATAAACAATAACTGGGGGGTGGGGGGGTTACACCAAAATGTAATTAATGATAGAAGAAAGGTTAGAGGAACTGTAAAATAATCACTCAGTTCAAGTCAGAGAAAAACCTCATGAACAAGAGATGAACACCACCCTAAGAAAGACAGGAAACTTGAGGGCTCTCAAGGAGCAATAAGATAGAATTTAAAAAATAAAACTACGTGAGATACTGTACTTGGAAGTAACTGTATACTGCATAATTATAGAGATTACTATAATTGCACTGAAAAAAACCTATTCTAATCCATTATTTGGTAAATTTTATATGATTTGACTCTTTTTCTTGGAGCAAATAAAAGTTCATTTTCAGGAGACTGCCTAAATATTGCTAGCGTTACTTGGCACAAAGAAGACACTTGATATATTTTAGCTTCTTTCCCCAGCTTGAAGGACAAAGAATTAAGTTTAAGTTCGATATATGAAATTAGATTAAGTTATTTTGAACAAAAGAATTCAAAATATGACCTATTTCCACAGGTTCCCTGTCTGCAAATATTTAAAATGTTCTGGCCAGGGTGATAGATGTATCAGGCAAGGGATAAGAGCATTTTCTACAGTTGTATTATACAAAAAGCAAATATAACACTTTATTATATAGTGACAAAGAAATTCTTTGACCTTTTACTTAGAACTACTAGCTTCCTCTTTCTTACCTTCAAATACTGATATAACATATCTGGAGAACTTTTCAGTTGTCTGAAATCAGATTCAAGCTGGAATGAGTTTGAAGGAACTGGAGGAAGAACGGTTGTAATCGACTGAGCAGGTATTTTGTCTACCTCTACAGAAATCTTCTCACTGAAAGACTGACATACATCCTGTTTCAAATTAACCTGAGGTCTGGAAATATTTCAGAGGCATCAATCAAACAATTGAAAAGAACTACAAATAGTCAAAGCTTATATAAACATCAATAGAGATTTTTACATTTCTGACTTTATTGATATTGTATTATCTATTTACATTCTGAAAATGCTAATTCTTTCAGCTGATAATATATGTATATTTTTCACAATACAGATTATGCCTTTGCAAATTTTCACATGCTATGTAATGACTATTCTCATCTGTTGGGCAATTAGCTGGACCACCTTCTGAGTACGCCATTTCTATACACTGCATTACTACATCACCTATACTTATAACTCAGCCTTCTAGAAATCTGAATTATCAGTTTCAAAAAAGATCTAAGGAAAAAAAATCCTTCCTCCTTAAAAAAAAATCTGCCTATTTAGTGTTTCCCCACAATCTATACTATCATTTTAAATAGAAATATTGCAAAAATTCAAAGTTTAAAAAAACTTCTACTAGGATTGCTGAGTGCAATGCAGGAATATGTTAAGTAAAGTTACAATACAAAATAAACTTAGCTTACATTTTTTTATATTCTCATAATGAAGGAAACATGAGACTATTTTTTAAAATCCCAAATGAATTTTAAACAGCCCACAAATAATCTTAAATATGAATGGCTAGAATAATGATCGTGCCTAAATTTTACAATTTTTAGAAGCTTCCTTTTAAAAAGTTAAAAATTTTTTGTTGAATTAAAAAGTAAAACAATATACTAAAGTTCTAGAAAAGGAAATGAACAAAATAAATCTGTTCAAGATACTTTCTTATCATCTCTAAATTCCCCACTATGCTTAAGGAACAGTGATTATTCCATAAGCAAAGCCTCTTTAATAGCAAGAACAAATTAAAAAAAGAAACTGAATGCGAAGTTGAAAAAATTATGGTGCTGAGTACAAACCAGAAGTCTCATCAATAATATTAATTTTCTAGTGGAATTATCACCATTCTAGAGATTATAAAAGTGTTCCTACTCACTGCAGAACTGAAGTATCACTGATTTCTTCTATTTTCAATACTTTTGCTTTTGGAATATCACTCGTGGGCAAAAGGTCATCTTGGCTTGAATTCTTCTTACTTGCAGTGCCTGTGCTTGCTATTACATTTGCTAGATTAAAAGGATTACTCTCTGGAGCAGCAGCAGTCGTGCTATCTGGCACATCGATAGTTTGTATCAAATTACCAGTTTCTTCAATAATAACCTTCTTGAGTGGCTTCTAAAACAATTAAAATCAATTCCTTAAATCAACACATACAGGTTTTCTATTTTAGGGTCACAAATTAAAAGGTTGCAGTGTTCTTACAGCCAATATCCCAATTATAAGTAAATTCAATTTGATGGCTAGGAGTCATACTCTTGTCTGAGAATACAAAAAAGATGCATAGCACCTATCCTACATAGATCTAAATGTGGGAAAGAAGATGTATTAGAAATAATTACAAAGCAATGGAATGCACATCATAAAAGATGAGAGCACAAAATTATAAGAAAACACAAAGAAAAGGTAGATAAACAGCATCAAGTGGAGACTTCACAGAAAAGTACACAAGAATGGTAATGTCGAAAATTATGGTATGGTCTGTGGAAAGGCGACAAGTCCAATGGGGCGGGTGCAACAGGAGGAGTGATGGAGACAACGCCTGAAAGGCTGCTTAAAGATAGCTTATAAAATGACTTGTGTGCCATGTCAAGGAGTTTGGACTTTATCCTAGAGACAATAAAGCCAAGAGAAAATATAACCAAACTGATAGCAGTATTGTGGGCTAAGTGAAGGCAAGAACAAGGCGGGCAATAACCAGCATGTAAAATTACAAAGATGTGAAAGTTTAAACATTTAATCATCTTTATTGAAAAGAAAAAATAGCAAAAATGAATATGAGTGAAAATTAATATATGAAAGCAACTAGACTTATTATGCCCAGCACGTGAAACAAGTATTGTCACAGAAAATTAAAGAATAAAGTCATAATAAGAATACTAGGAAAGTATTAAACTAAGGATTTCCTCTATTGGCTACTAACCTAAAATATGAACTTAGCAAAACAAATATTCTTTGCCTCATTTTCTTCCTTTGTAAAAAGAGGATAAAAATACCTGCTCTGACTTCCTTATAAAATTACTTCTCTAAAAGCATCAACCATGCATAACAGTTACTTTTAGCGGACAAGGAGAGGATGGTGATCAGCAAGGAGGCACACAGGGCAATTCTGGGAGGTTGATACCTTTCAATTTCTTTACCTGTTTGGTGGTTTCGCCAACACACACGCACGCGCGCGTGCACACACACACACGTATGTAACTATGTAAATGTTAGAGACTACAACAGAGTCACATCGTGACTCTATTTGCCTTAAATGAAATCGATTTCAAAGGTTTAGCACACAACAGACTGCTGAATTCATGCCAGCTACTCTTACTAATATTGCAGGAAAATAACTGGCTTTGTTGGACTTACTGAAAAGCAGTATAGTATACCAAATAATGTGCAGTGTGTATTTTTAAAGATAACCTTGCCTATATAAGATTTTTGCCTATGTGCTGATTTTAGATCTAACCCCATACAAGATATAAAACATTGCAATAAAATCATAATCTCAAATAAGAATAGTAATAGAAATAAAAAATTCTTAATTACAAAAGGTAAAACCACTTCAAATTCCTTTAATGCCATAAAATGTGAAAATATTTAAATTTATGGTTACATTAAGTCACTTAAAAAGTTACCACAGAACTCTAAATAGCTCAAATTCCCCCAATTTTATTATATCAATAATCCTAGGAAGTACTTTTTAAAGAGCATAAAAAAGGCCCTAGGAAGAGATTTCAATATTTTCTTTAAGAGATTAATTCAACAGTTGGTTTTCAACTCTTATTCATACAACACTGATATTTAATAGCAAGGAAAACAATGAAAGAACTTACAGTTGATCCAAGATGAGGTGGATTATCAATGGGTTTTATCACATTTTGCCTTTGAGTAGAATCGAGAAAAACATCATCCCAGTGTCCTTTCTCAATTAATTCCTTGAAAATAAATTTGTAATCATGACTACAAAAATATTCTTAAGATAATTATGCAATAAATACATGTGTTTATGCTGCAAGAAATAAGAGCATATTTTAGTGAAAAGATTACCTTTTTAATTTTGGAAAGTTCAGTTACTGCTTGCTTATTTCCAGGTTCTAGAAGTAAAACAGTTTCAAAATCTAAAGGGAATTTTTAAGAAATATAATAAATTAGTGAAAATACTTTATGAAGTTCAAAATAGGATATATTTAGTTTAGTAACTCCATATTTAACTTAAGAACTATTACTCTGGATGCTAGAAACAGGTGAGCAATAACAAGGACTAACATTTACTAAGTGCTATTCTAGTTGCTTTATATGAATTCTCACGTAACCCCTACTTGTTACAACCCCACTTTACAGATATGACTGAGGCCTAGAGGTCATCTAACTTTCCAAAGCTCATGCTGTTAACAGATGACAGAGTAACACACTAAATGTAAGATAGAATATAAGAGAATTCCATATAATAGAATATTATTCAGCCTTAAAAAGGAATCAAATTCTGGTATATGCTATGAAACAGATGACTCCTGAAGACATGCTAAGTGCAGTAAGCCAGACACGAGGACAAAATAGTGTATGATTCTACTTATGTGAAGTACCTAGAATAGTCATATTCAGAGATAGAAAGTGGAATGATAGTTACCAGGGGCTGAAGAAAGGAGAATGGAGAGTTATTGGTTAATGAGTAGAGTTTTCAGAATGGAATGATGAAAAAGTTCTGGAGATGGATAGTGGTGATGGTTGTAGAATAGCACGAATGCACCCAGTGCCACTGAAGTGTAAACTTAAAAATGGATAAAGAATAAATTTTATGTTATGTGTATTTTACCATAATAAAAAAATGTACGGGCTACAGCTGAAGCCAGCCTTAGAGAGAAACATATTTAAATGCAAATATAAGGAAAGAAGGTTGAAAATCAATTATCGAAGTATTGATGTCAAGAAGTTAGAAAAACAGCAAATTAAACCTAAAGACAGTTGAAGGAAGGAAATAAAGAGCAGAAACAAATGAAAGAGACAACAGACACAAGAGAAACAAGTTGGTTCTAATAAATAGTTAAAAGACAGGTCACGGAAAAATAACAGAAATAGATAATCAGTAGCAAGGAAAAAAGGGGGCATCGCTAAAGATCTCAAATTATCCTCTATCCCCTAGATTAGGGGTCCCCAATCCCTGCACTGCAGACTGGTACCAGTTCATGGCCTGTTAGGCAATGGGCCACAGAGCAGCTTCATCTGTATTTGCAGCTGCTCCCAGAGCTAGCCTCACCGCCTCAGCTCCACCTCAGCTCATCAGGCATTAAGATTCTCACAGAAGTCCCTGGTGCCAAAAAGGTTGGGGACTGCTGCGTAGATGCTGATTCCCTTTCTTTTCATTTTTGCCTTTTTCTTGCTTTTTTTTTTTCCACCTTATAATTCAAATGTTTCATTGATTTTGAATGGCAATTAGCCAGATGGTACTCTGTGCTATTAAAAGATAATCAGGTCCACTATGGAAGCTGCATTCCTTCAAGTCTGCAAAGCTATTCATGATCTAAACTTGGTAGAAAATGTACTTCTCTAAGTTCTGTATCCTTGACCATGGGAAGGCTCTGCCTATCTCAGATTCTATAACTTGGTAGTTTCATCAGGATAAGTGAGTGCCAGTTGTCATAAAAATAGTCATACCTTGTTTGGCTTCATTTAACTTTCCCAAAAATGTTCTTGCAGTTCCTCTTCTGGCAAAAGCTTTAGAATATGAGCCATCTAATAAAATAGCTTGTGTGCAGTCTTTTTCAGCCTCTTCATATCTATTAAACATGATAAAATAACCAATGGGAAAAATGCAGGCTACAGAAAAAGTTCATGTAAACTGAGTTTCTAATGTAAAAAGCATGCAAATAATTTAAATTACCAACTCTCAAACCTGTGTCTGAAGGAAAAGACTATTTTTAAATTTTATATTCTCACCAAATCTTGGAATCATCTGATAAGGAGGGAGAAGGTACCAGATTAAAGAAAAGTCAGAAAAGAGTGTGCTGGAAGGATGGAATTAATGATGGTAAAATATATATAGAGCAGACAGAAGACTATCACTGCTGGCAATTTACCTCCCCTCAACTCTCAATAAGCACAGGACTACATTAAGAACTGTAACTGATATGAATTTTCTAATAAAACATCATTAATATTTACCTATAGTACACTTTAAGGAAAAACAACCCATGTAAAAAACATTATATGAAAGTATATCATCTGACACTTTTCATAAATTCTACTTAGCCAGGCAACCAGCAGTCATTTCAGCCTAGCTACTGCTCTACGATAACAAAGAGCTAAGAGCAGTTAAAAAACAAACAAAATGTCTGTGACCTGCTTTATAATTCAGAGGGAAAAAAGGCTGAAACAAATGTGACAAAAAGGTATGTTAAAGGTTTGTTTAAAACTAGATGCTTTGATACATGGAGCTTGTGATACACTTCCATGAAAGTTTGAAAAATTTCATAATAAAAATATTATTTAAAAAAGAATTTTCTGTGATTACATTCTCCGCAAGACCTAAATGAATGCCATACTATCCTCAAAACAAGACTTAATATGAACAAAATCAGATTTTCTAATGAACTTAAACATCTCTGAATTTAATTTACTTTTCAACAAGAAAGTATATGTGTATGTGCATGTTCATGGCCCTACCAATTTACTTTCTATATGACTGATTATGTCATTTTCCCATTTAAGACACTTGCATGGCCCCCACACCTTTCAGGATCACGTCCAGCTCCTATGCAGAGCACGAAATCAGCCTTATCTCTAGCTTTATCTCTGTCCCTGCATAACAGCCAAAATATGAACTACATGCCCTGTCCAGAAGTTACCATGAAATTTCCCATTTCTGCACCTTTGAATCTGCACTGAGACATTCGACCTGTTTTTTCACCTCACTCATACTACCCCATTAGATCTTAGTTTGGTTCAAACTCCTCTTTAAAGTGCTCCCTTTATGACTCTCATCTAGTCTGTAATATCTGACAGTCACCATATGGTGGAGAAAACTTCTGATATTAAGCATAAATCTAAAAGGTAAACTAGAAAAAAATGCAAATAAGAGTCATATAGTTCTTTGTATTTAAAATACACTGTTAACTTGCTATAATATACTAATATGAATATCAACTAACACAATAAGGCCAATACAATAAATTAGAGCTCTCATAAATGTAGATATAATCTCTCACCTATTAGAAGGTATTATTCTTGGCATTAGTCAAACCTAAGAATCGAGGCTTACAATTGTTAAATTATGCACAATTCTTGAATAGCAAAGTAAGCTAGCAGGAAATGCAATGATTTCTATTCTGACTAATCAAAATAATATGTCTCTAGTTATATCTATTAGTTTCAATGAGGTTAAATATACAACCAAAATTTACTTCTGTGACAGGGGTTCCTAACCCAAGGTCCTTCAAAAGATCCAAAAACTTGGATGGAAAAAATATTACATCCTTATTTTCACTAACTTTTAAATAAAATTATAACTGTAGATAACAAACCATAGTTATAAAAGCAATATCTATAACTTTGTCACCAATAAAAATCATAGATATGTTCATATCACATTACGTTTGTTAGAGATATCTCAAATACTGTTTTGAGATATCACCACTATTTCAGAATTACAGTAGCAATTTAACCTATTTGTTTGCATGTGATCATAGTATCCCTGTTTACAGACACTCCTATGACAGAAGTGGCCAGCTACTAGCCAACTCTGCCCCTAGTAGTCACTCATATGCCAAAGCGTGAAATCGTATGTTCTCACACTGGTAACGTGATCATCAGTTGCTTTCCGAGTATTCCTTATCCACACGTATTAGTTGATCAATATGTGGAAGAATATGTGTCAAAGATCACCACAAATCCTAGTGCCCTTATTCAAACTTTCACATTAATGTCTTTAAAAAATTTTTAACTTTGTTGCCTATATTTTAAATGTAGTTTCTATGTAGTGTATTTTAAAAAGTACATATATCACTATATCACAAATTTTAATATTTTTAAAACTGTACTACAATACAATTGGTTTCCTTTGTAATCTTAAATGTATAATTATACCTTTAAAAATTTTGAGAAAGGTTCACCATTCATGGCACCAAAAAAGTTTAGAATCTCTATTTATAATATTTATAGGCTTTTTGTCACTAGGTGTATAAAGTATTATTACAACAGATACAAAGAAATGTAATATACAGTTTCCACTATCAAATATTACCCTGCTGATTATCCAACTTGGAACCCTAAGTGTATACAGAAACAGGCGGTGAATATTACAGGACCGAGTTTTAGGTGCACATGTAATCAATCAGTAATTTCAATGACAGCAATTCCTGTCTGCTATATATGTACATGTATATATAACACACTTCCAGATTAAGACGTGGCCCAAAGTATTCTGAGTTAAAAATAATTTTCAAATCACTGATTCAGAATAACATGCATAAAGCAATTTAAAGTGTTAAATTGTGTAATTCCAGACTATTAAAAGTGAAAAAATATTAACATGAGCTAAATTTACTGAATATGTACTATGATACACATATGCTCTTTTTGTCTCTCTAATTCTCAAGAATTTTAATTTATTGTTTAGCTAATATACCAATTTATAGTAAATTTCATTTTCATCCTGAAAAGCATTAAATGTAACCAATACTTACTTCTGAATCTTCAGATAGGCCATTGCTCTGTTAGCTGGAAGAAGGGCATTAGCACCATCTGCTGCTATCCCTCGAGTATAGCATTCAATCGCTCTTTCGTATTTCCCCTCTTTGAAATATCCATTCCCCTATCATTTTGTAAAGAAATATGAATTAAAAAATATGTAAAAAAAAATTAAATTTGAATTTTTATTTTTAGTTTTTTATTTTTATTATTATTATTTTTTTAATTCTTTTAGGCAAGGCAACCCTTGGTTGACCTCACAGACTGCAAAGACCTTGTCAACTTACGATCCCTTATTTTTTATTTTTTACGCCTATAGCACCTGGTCTTCCAAGCTGGTCTCCCATCCAAGTACTAAACAGGCCAGACGAGATCAGGCTTGTTCAGGGTGGCTAAATTCAGATCTTAAGAAACACTGCAAGTATACTCATCAATTTATTACATCAGTAATTACATTTTAATTGTTAAAAATCTAGTCCCATGTACATGCTTTTAGAATCTGTTAGCTTGAGTTGTTTTTTTATATTATTCTCTCTTCAGTACTAAAAAGAAAAAATGTACATAACTATATTACTTTGAGGTATTAACCATTTTCTACTAATTATTACAGTTTAAATTTAAAAACAAATTTAATAAACATAGGTCTAAATATTATACTCTTTACTTATATTAGAAGCTATACAAATGAATTTCACAATTCCATTAATTTTTGTGAAAGAACAGAATACCAGAATTGTACAGCTCACTCTTCAAAACTTTAATATGCCCAAACATAGAATGAATTAAACTGTATTAAATGTGTATACCAAATTTCATTGTAACATTTATTTATAAACAGTGAGATATATCACAATCAATAATCAGTCCATAAGTATTAGGAATCCTCTGTGGGTCTGTGTAAAGCTGTAAATTTATTAAATTAAATCTCAACTCAGGATTTTTTTTTTTTTTTAGGCGGCAACCTTTGGTTGACCTCACAGATTGCAAGGACCTTGTCAGCTTACAATCCCTTATTTTTTATTTTTTACGCCTATAGCCCCTGGTCTTCCAAGCTGGTCTCCCATCCAAGTACTAACCAAGCCCAATCCTGCTTAGCTTCCGAGATCAGACAGGATTGGGCTTCAACTCAGGATTTCCATAGGAATTTTGTTCATAAATAGTCCAGTGTGAATTAATGAAAACAAATTATAAGAATGAATTGTAACTTGTTAAATTTATAACTATCTATATATAAATGTGTTAAAATGTTCAAAAGTAATTTGTTCACTAAAATTATATATTTTTAATTATGTATTAAGTCATCAATTCGTCAAATCTTGAATTAGTAGGCTCCAGAAGTTTTAGTATATTTAATTTTCAGTCCTTATTGAAAAATAATTTTAATACTAAAAAAAAAGAAACTTAACCAATATACAAGAAACTAAGAGTAAATTCAGCAAAACATATATATGTTAGAATCTCTCTGAATTACCAAGTCTTTCTCTGAAATGGCCTGCTGCCTATTCTGTTGCTCTTCAATTCGTTTTTTCTCTCCTTCAGTTGACTTAATCATCATGTCAGCTTCCTCTGGATATGGGTTTTCTTTGGATGTCAAAGCCTAGGAGACATAGCAGTCAGCTAAACTAAAACAAGTAATGCAAAATGCATATATATTTGACTTTAAAATATTGTCACTCAAATATATTAAAATTTCTGCCACATTTCAAATTAATAATTAAAATAATATTTTTACTCTAATTCGAAGTCTTTCTACTTATTAAAATAGAAAGCAAAAAAAGATTATAATAAATTTAATGCTCATCTTATTCTAAATAAAATAAGTAATATCCGCTAAAGGTAGTTGTTCATTTATTTATTTACTCAACAAATATTTGTTGAATTTCTACGCAGCCCAGGTACTATTCTTGGAACTATTTTCAAAAATAAAACAGTTTATTAAGACCCTATCACCAAATTTCTCAAATTTAAGACTTAGTCATTATTAGACCTAGTACAAAATACAAAAATATACAATACAGTTCACAATCATAATCAAGTTGATTTATTTACAGATTTTCTTTTAAATTTTTTTAAAAGCAGATTTTTCCCCAATCATTTTTACTTTTTTCTCAGTTTCAATGGATGACAAAGTAATTATATCTCTGATTCAAAGGCCAAGTAAAAGGGTATACAACTGTTCAGTATCATTTGACAGTAAATTTTACATTTAAGTAATAACTATTTTCTTATTGTTAAAAAAATTAGCATGAATTTTGCTAAAATATAAACTATAAAAATGCAGCAACTTAAAAATTACAAAATCAAAGTAATACACAAAAGTTTAGCACAGAAATTAAAGCATTAGCCAAAAAAGAAAAATTAATGGGATAAAGAAAAATAATTCTGTCATCTGGGAAAAAGTAAATAAGCAGTAGTCCTAAAGATCTCAGACAACTTTCTTAGATGATGATTAAGGATCTTTAAATACCATTATAGTACTTCTTGCTTGCAAATTTGGTAAAACTCTGTAGTACAAAGAATTAAAATTAGAAAAATGTCTATATTAAGTAATCTATAATACAGTCTATGCTAAAATCTTTACTTCATGAAATAAAAGTAATAAGTAATGCACTTAATTTAAATAACTATAGATTACCTGATTAATTTTCCTGAGTTCATTTGTGGCTTCAAAGTTATTTGGTTCCAGTTCTAACACTTTTTCATAATCTGAGTAAAATAGAAGGTAAAGAATATTTGAAAGATATATTTAGAAATCTGTATAAAACAATAATCATTTGCTACATGTGACAAATAGGTAACTGTTCTATAGCAAAATTAAGAGGAAATAAGAAATATTAACATTAGGCTGCTGGGCTCTCTCCACTCTCCCCCAGGACAGATGAATTCTGACATAATCACCTGCTCTCACCAGCGCCAGGAAGGATACTTGCTATCTTAAGTCATACATCGTAAAACCAAAAAACAGCAGAATCTTTTAGATATCAGCTTTATTCAATTTGTGATTTATAGTACACAAAGTTATTTTATGGAATAATAAGAGACTTAGAAATTACAGACATGTAAACAGAAACATGGTAATAGCTTTACTCGCACTACCTCTAGATTCACAATAGCCAAAGATGTTTTAATCCTTATATTATAGATGAGAAACTGAAAATCAGAGAAGATAACCTTCCTCTGGTCACACATGGTGGAATGAGAATTTGAATCAAAATCTAATTAGTGGCAAATAATGCACTCTTTCTCAAAATACCAAGATATCTTCTTAATTGCAAAAATGAGTTTATTCAAACATAGAAAGCTCTCTGAAGGTAATAACTGTGATTATCTAATATTCTTTGTATAGTGTCTATTAAACCACTGAAGAATTTTTTAGACAACAATGACCTGGAAAAATAATACCTTTTTTGGCATCCTCTAATTTTTGCAAAGCAAACCGAGCAGCACCTCGTCTTGCATAAGCCTTTGTATAACTTCTATTTAAGGCAATTGCTAAATTACAATCAGACTCAGCAACAGCAAATCTACAATTAAAAAAATTAAAATAAAGTGAAATTAATAAAAATCATTTGTTAAATCAACACTTCAGAATTTGAGTGGGATTAATTTCCCAACTGAAGGCATGTAACCCACCTTCTTTTATTTTAGTTAAGCGTACTAACAGCAACAATTTTTTATGGTGAGATGTAAGTAACAGTCTCCTTAAATCAAGGAACAACAATGCATACTATCATTGCTTTTTCTCAGCATTGTATGACCGATCCTGGCCAATGCAGTTCCGTAAGAAATACTGAAGACTGGAAAGGAAGGAACAAAATCGACATTCCCAGATGAAACAATCTAGAAATATTGTTAGAAATAATGAAACTTAAGCAAGGTGACTGCTTTATTAGCGACAAAAAATAAATCTAACAAAAGCTGTATAAGATCCATATGCAGAAAACTGCAAGACTGTCCTTCGAAGACATTAAAGACTTAAGTGGAAATATTTCACATTTACCTATAACAAGGCACAAAAACATAACAATATAATTCTCTCCAAACTGATCTACAAATCCAACTATAATCAAAATCCAACAGATTTTTCATGGAATTTGACAAGATGATTCTAAAATTTATATTGATAAACAAGTCCAAGAATACCTAAGACATTCCTGAAAAATAAAGAGAACATGCCATATGCCAAATATCAAGACTCAGCAATTATAATGCTATAACAATTAAAGATAGTGTGGAATGGAATAGGCAACAGATCAATGTAAAGAATAGAGAGATGATAAAGAAATCCATGCAAACCTGACAAATGACAATGGTGGCGCTGATCCATGAGAAAAGCATGGATGTTCAACTAATAGGACTGGAACAATTGGGATATTCATATGAAAAGATATGAAACTGGAATTCTACCTTCATCATATATAAAAAGACTGAAATGTGAAAAGTAAAACAACTTTTAGAAGAAAATATAGGAGACTACTACTGTAAGTTCAGGGAAGGAAACTTTTAATAAATCATTTTTTAAAGTGCTAACATTATTTTAAAAATAAATTGAAATGTTAAAATTAAAAATTTGTTTATCAAGACTCCATAAAGAAAGGAAAGAAGCTACAATTAAGATAATTATAAACAAACACTAAAGGATTAGTATCTAGAATAAAGAACTCTTAAAAATTAACAGCAAAACAGTCTAACAGAAAAATGGCCAAAAGACAAAACAAGCATTTCGCAGAAAATACAAATGGTGAATAAACCCATAAGATGATGCTCAGCCTCATTGGAAATTGGGGAAATGCAAATTAAGACCACAATGAATTACCATTTTATTCCCTCCAGACTGAAAATAATTAAGAAGCCCAATTATACCAGTGTTGGTAAAGATACAGAACAGGAATTCTATACACTGCTAGTGGGAATGTAAACTTGTACAACTACCTTTACAAAAACTGGTCGTCACCATTTAAACAATGTGCACACCTTACAAGCCAGCACCAAGAAACATGTACAAGTGTTCGTAGTATTAATGTTTTTAAATAACGAAGGAGAGTGGGAGGTAATGAGAGAGTGGGGAGGAGCGGGGGAAGGAAAAGAAGGAGAGGAAAAATCAACCAACAATCCAGCAACAGGAGAATGCATATATAATGGTATATTCCTAAAAAGAAATTGTAAATAACAGTGAAAATCAGAGATCTATAGCTATATGCAAAACATGGCGAATCTAAGAAATATAATAATTAGAGAAATATAAGACTACATTCAGTATGATATACTTTTAAAGTTCAAAAATAAGCAAAATTATACAATATACTATTTAGGGGTACATATATAAACTTTTTTATGTAAAGAATGATAAATATTCAAGGCAAGATAGTGGTTAACTGGGAGGGAAAAGAGTCAGGTCAGGGAAAGAAGTATGAAGGTAGCCTCTAAAATAATAATGTTCTGATTCTTAAGTTGGGTGGTCGGTTCGTGTGAGGTTATTTAAAACTACTCTTCATCACTTACATATACTAGATATCAAATGTTACAAAATGTAAATATTCCCTAATTTGTCAGGATATTAACACATAAATTCCGAAGACCAAAAAATATGCTATTTAAAATAGTAAAAACCCAAAAACCAATGTAATTCATATTTCCAAATAATAATTAAAACAGTATGAATGCCTTCCTTGGTGGCATGTCTTTTTAAAAATTCTTATGAGGACGTGGTTCCATAGTGTAGCGGTTAGCATGTCTGCTTTACACGCAGAAGGGTCCTGGGTTCTCACCCCAGTGAAGCTATGGTCCATGGTCTATAGCCATGCCACCCTGAACAAGGCCAATGTCTGATTTCGGAAGCTAAGCAGGGTCAGGCCTGGTTAGTACTTGGATAGGAGACCACCTAGGAAGACCAGGTGCTATAGGCATAAATAATAATAAATAATAAAATAAAAAAATAAAATAAAAATTCTTATGATAGGTCAGTTCCTTGCTTATGATAAGACAATAAAACACTTATGTTCTTCAATAGGAAGTATGTATTTAAAGAGTCAATATGATTTAAAGATAAACAAATGCTGGGATATACTTTAAGTTCACCATAATAAAAGTTCTCTAGGTTAAATAATGGATAAATGATTTTTCAAAATAATGGAGGGAAATTAATTTCTAAAATTTTTTACCCAGCTAACTTTTTTCCTTTTGTGAATTAGCTAAAGAATACCATTATTCAATTTTTGGAGAGTACCTTGGTAAAGTAAGCTATAGAGGGCATGGTATGAGCACCTGAATGTTTAAAATGGCTTAAATAACTCAATAAGAGGCGGGTAAGCTATAAGAATTTACAGTTGAAAAGAAATGGAAAATTTTTTCAATCATTCCCACACATTTTTATCATGAAAGTTTTTTAAAATATCAGTCTCCATATACACATGAAATATTCACACACATTATGGAAATTCCTTACTTTTTCATTCTAAAATATGCTGATGCTCTGTTTGTTGGTAACACAGGATTATATGGATCGGCATTCATGCCTTTGGTGTAGCATTCAATTGCTTCATCATATTTTCCTTGTTTGAAGTACTTATTGCCCTGAAAAAAGCATACAAGTCAGACATATACTGGCACAGAATTCTAGAGCCTTTTTTTTTCACTATTATCCATCTCATTCTAATTCATTAGCTGTGTGATCAAGGCTAACAGGAAACAAACGAGAATGGAGCAAAAATGGTCTTTTTACAAGTGCTGAAATTCACAGTATAGTCATAATCCAAGAGTCCTGGCAGAAAAATGAGTGAAACACTTAGCATTATGTACTTATTATTGACAATAACAACTCACAGAAATGTAACCCAAAAAAAGCCATCAAGATGAAGTTCAATCTAAAAAGCAATACATCTAGTTTTATATCTTCCTCAGGGAGATGCTGAACATTCCAAAAAGTAACCATGGATGGCCTGTGATATGGAGGGGTGAAATATAATATTCATGTCGAGAATCATATGCTGATTTTTAAGTTACTTCAGTCTACTACTAAAACCCTGGAACTACTCTCTATATGGTCCAAGCACTTTACATATAATAATTCACTGAATATTTAATAGTCAGAATAACCCATCGAGGTTTAGTAATAATCGTATTTTACAGCTGAGAAAACTGAATACAGGCAATTTAAAGAATTTGTCACAGGATCTGAACCCAGGCAATTGGGTTTCTGAGCATATATTCCCTATCATTATGCTATACTGCCTCCCGATTGGGATATAGCCAATAACAACTTAGTGTGAACACCCCCCAAATTATGTTGAAGAAATCTTGGGATCCACATGATTTTCTATATATCCTGCCTACCTGAGGGAAACTAAAGCTAACCTAAAGAATACCTTTTCTTTTAGAGCAAGAGCCTTTTGTGAATCTACATGAATTCCATCTTCTTCCGATTCTGATTCTTGAGATAAAGAATCATGAGTACTCTCTTCTTTGTCAAGCTCATCAAGGATACTTTCCTGAAATCACAAGTAGGAGAACGATGTTCACAGTTATTTGACCATTAAAAAAAAAAAAAGACATATAAAAAGAGTACAGTCAACAGAACTTAAGTTATGATCTATGGACCTAAAGGCCTATAATAGCAACCCAAATAACCTCTCATTTTAAAGATTATATCCAAAGAAAAAAGTACCCTTGTTTAGAAAACCAAGATCCAAACCACTTAAAGATTCTAACTTTGAACTCAAAAAGTAAACTCAGTCAAGTCTACAAACCACCCCTAAATCACCAACTATTAGCAATGAAGTATTATGTTTTGACATAAAGAAGTTTGCAAATAACCCCAAACTAATGTTATAGCAACCAATAGCAGAGAAAGGGTTTTTTTCTAAAACTTTGTTTTTAAAACAACAAAAGGTGCTTGAAAAGCACAATGAACTCCTGATTCTCATAAGAAGCTATAAGGTAGGTGTAATTACCCATGATTTTCAGTTGCATGAACTGAAACTCAGTAGTTAGTTAACTCATTCAAGGCCATAAGTGGCTGAGTCAAGATTTGAACCCAGGCGGTCTGTCTCCTCCAGAAAGCTCTCAATGACTATGTTATACTGTCTCAGTGTATTCCAAAATATAGCTGACTCAATCAAAGACTCTATTGACTAGTTCATTAAAGCTTATTTTTTTATTGAAGTTTGTTTAAACAAAAATTTTAATCATTATGTAAACAAACTCCTTTTTTATTTTGCAAGTAACAAAATATTATTTTAAATGATTCATGTAAGAAAAAACATATTGTTGATAAATTAAAAAACAAAACAAAATCTATGCTGTTTCATTGAATGAACATTAAAAGATGAACTGAAATTTAGCTATGTGTTTTAGCGTGAGGATTCTACAAAATCCACCAGCCTACCAACATTAAAGCCAAGAATGTCCCACTCTGTTATGCTGACATGTGTAGAAAACTAATGGCAGCAAAATACTAAAATAGCTGCTCAGATCTGGACTAGAATGGAAATGGTAAGTAAACACCTATATCTTGTATAGATACACTAAAATGACAAGGTAAAGCAATGTAGTACAATCATGATGGCACTGGCAACACAAAGCAGTAGTTCAACTGTTATCTGTTGAATGAGTGAGTGACTGTAGAAAGCATTTCTCTAAGAAGTCATCTGTGATGGTGCCTTTCAGGAAAAAGCATTATAAAGAAGATACTGACTTATGAAAAGGAAATATAAAAAGGGGTAAAATGACAACAGACTATATAATTCTCAGCAAAAAATAAATCATTTTCAAAAAGTATCATTTCCAACAGCAATAAATTCAAGACTCCAAACCACATTTCTCTTACATTGGAACAATACTGAAACAGATGGCAAACTACTTAAATAATAGTGCCAGCTTTCTTGAGTCAATTAGCCTTGGTTTCATTAAGAAAAACACAACTAATTTGGAAAACCATTTGGCAGTATCTTCTAAACCTAATTGTATATATAAACTATGACCCAGCAAATACCATCCCCGGTGCTTATATTCATCAAAAGACATGTACAAAAATGTTCACAGCAGGTTTATTCATAATAGTCGAAAACTGGAAATAACCCAAATGTATGTTAGTAGAATAGATACACAAATTGTGATACAGTCACACAATGGAATGCTTATCAGCAATGAAAAAGAACTACTGCCATTGACAATACGAATCGATCTCAGACGATGCTAACAAAAGAGGTCAAACACAAAACGGTGTATCCTATATATTTATATGAAATTCCAAAACTGGCAAAACTGATCTACAATAGTGGCTACCTTTGGGAGGTTATCAACTGAGAAGGGAAGCTTGTGAGATGCTGGAAATGTTCTGTATCTTGATCTGGCTGGCGGTTTCTCAGGTATATACATGAGTAAAAATCCAGGCGGCTGTACACTTAAGATTTTTGGATTTTACTGTATGTATATTATACCTTAATTAAAATATAAAACAAAAGTGCAAAGAAAATAAATAGTAGTTACCTCTGGGGGTAGAAGAGAGAAAAGATGGGAAAGAGAAGGAGCACACTGGCAGCTTCAACGAGACTGGATAAATTCTCTTTAAGTTAGATGGTGGGTTCACATATTCATTTTATTATGCTTTAAAACATGTATCTCCACATGCTCTTTTCTATGAATCAAATATTACATAAAAAACACTTTTTAAAAGACTAAAAGGGAATGCATATTCCATATCAACCTAACCAAATGAACCAACCCTTAGAGTGGGCCAGACTCTAGAATAAGGCTGGCCAAAAGGTTCCCTTTCATAGGTTGAATTGACAGTGGCTGCCTGGAGCACTGAGTAGAGGGTGCCAAGGTTGAGTACTGATGATAATTCTCCAGTAGACTGTGTGTCACGTGTGGGAGATGGAAAACATGCACACATTTTTGCAATCCTTGGTCTAAAAGGGTGAGGCCCACCTTCCTAAGATCTAGACTTGCTTTTATTGTCATGTAGCCCCAGGCCTAAGAAGAGACACAAAGGCATTCTCTTTTTACTAGTATTTGACAGGTCCTTCAGTCTATAAAGGGGGTACTGGCAGAGTCATTCTTTTCTGGGAGTATTACTATCTTAGAATTCTGGATGTTTAGGGGTTAGAGATGGTGGGGAGGAGGGAGGTGGGTTTAACTATAACACAAGGGAGATCTTTATGATGTGCAATACTTCTGTACCTTCACTGCAATAGTGCTTACCCAAACCTATTCATGTGATAAAATGGAACAGAACTAGATATACATTGTACCAATGTCAATTTCCTGGTTTTGATACTATACTATAGTTAAGATGTAACCACTGGAGGAAACTGGGTGAACAGTACAGTAGACCTCTATGTGCTATTTCTGCATAAAGAGAAAACAGGAAAAATAAGAATCCTGGCTGTTTTAGCCACTATTCACTGAAAGAAGACTGGAGAGAAAAAAATCTGGTTAATTGAAGAGCTATGTAATTAAATTTTTATTCCACATAAGATAGTCTGTAAGACAAAGAAACAGGGCGTAAGAACTCTACATTATTTTTCATTTAATCCATGACTCTTAGCTAATACAAAAACAATTTTACTCAAATATAAGAAGCACATAACTAGATTAACTTACCACATCAAGTTTTGCCCATGCCTCATAATCATAAGATTTTATCCTGTTTTTTGTGTTTTCATCTTTGGTTTTTTTAGCAGACTCTTTAGCTTTGCCTTTCTTCTTTTTCCTAAAATTCTTATTTCGAATAGGAGGTAAATTCTAGAGAGTAAAAGAAAAAGACAACATGTTTTGAGCACTACCGTTACTTTTGTGTAACTAGTAATGTTTAAAATTCTCACTAAATTATACGTTAAGAAATATTTTTAAATTTAATTTTCAAGTGCTTAAAAATATCAATTTACCACCTTAAATTATAATGATAATTTATGCTTGAAAAGTTTAATTCATCCTTTGATGAATGTTGGATATTGTTTAGTCACAAGAAAAATATTACTTAGAAATTTTAATTATACACTTAATTTGCAATCCTAAATTTTCTTCAAAAACTATGTGAACTTCAGCTTAGTACAACAAATTAGCAGTTCAATGGCAAAGTGAACAGCCTCCACATCATTACATGAAAGAGCTGTAAATATTTAAAGACACTGTCTTTAAAAAATGTTTGACTAAACTCAGACACTATCTACATTTTTATGGCAATAGTGTATGTTAATGTAATTAAATATATAATTATGTTACACATGATATATATATATGTGATATGTTATACATGATTATATTATACATGATATATATGTTATACGTTATACGAGATATATATGTTATACATGATATATATAGATATATATATACATATACACACACCTACATACTTTACGATGCTATTCATTTACCTTAAAAATTATCACATGGTCTTTTTTTCAGTAACTATTCACTAACCTTAAAATGTCTTAATACAGTTAATACGATTATTACAAAGACTTTAAAAAACAGAATTTTTCAAAGGTTGACAATATTTTCACAAACCATTTTAAAAGGTGCTTTATTTTAAAATAAATAGTTTTTTGCTGGATTCTGAAGTAGGAATTTAATTAAGGCATTCAATTAAGACGTTTACCTCTTCAGGAACACCATTCTGTCTTCTCAGTTCCATATCCTTTTGTTTAATATCTTTTTCCCAGTTTTCTAAATCTCTCATAAAGTCTTGTAATTCTTCTGCATTTTGTTTCACTTGTAGTTGTAATTCAATTGCTTTATTTGTTGAAGTCATTATGGCCTGCAGAGTTTTGACCAATCAACCTCTGACAAGAATTAAATAGAATTACTTGGCTTTATTTTTTGAAACCTAGCTAAATAATGGCTTTTCACCTTTTCATAAATGGCCATCATACATGGATAGAAGAAAGCCTAAAGTGATGTTGAAGAAAGAAAATGTCAGTATATCATTTTTAAAATGAGTCAATCAATGTTTGCTGAACAAATGAAAAATAAACAAGTTTGGGCATCCCCACAATGAAATATGAATGAAAGGCAATGAGGCAGGAATCACTGAAACTAGCAGGTAGCTAGACTGGCTGCTCATCTCTAGAGTTTATAAATTTATCCTAATTACCTCCTTTTTTCCTTTTCTTTCAACATTTATTAAACTTCTGCTATGTGACAGGCCCTGTATCAAGATTTAGGGATGCAAAAACTAGTAAGACAAAGTCCCTCATCTAATGGAGAAGAAAACAAAACAATCAAACACTGAGTAACAAAATATTATGCTAGGCAGCGTTTTCAATCTTGGGACTATTGACATTGTGGGCTAGATAATTTTTTGTTGTAGCGGGGCTGTCCTGCACATTGGAGGATGGCTGGCAACATCGCTGGCCCCTACGAACTAGGTACCAGTACTACCACCTCTCCTCTAGGCTGTGACTACTGCAAATGTCTCCAGACATTATTAAATGGCCCCTGGGAGGTATAATAACCTCTGACTGAGAACCGCTGTGCTAGAGATACATACAGATGCTATGGGACTGACGCAAAGGACAGGCATAAATCAGATGGTAGGGTGTGGGCTCAAGAAAAGAGGCCTCAGAGGTGCTGAAACTTTAGCCTGTTTCTAAAGGGGCCAGCTAAGTGATTTACATGGAGGAGTGGTCAGGCAGAATCAGGGACTATGAGGGAGAAGGACGGAAGAGAAGGTCAACAAGGTAGAAATGGAACAGATCTTGAAATGCCAGGCCGTGAGGTCGAACCTATAACCTGAAAGCTACATGAAAATATTAAGGTAATAAAATAAAAGGGACATGATGATTGATTAGGTTGAGGAACTGGGGTGCAAAGAAGGACTTAGTATTTTAGATTTCTTGTTTGGAAGCCTTATGAGTCAGGAATCACAATTTTAAAAGAAAAAGAGCTTTCAGGATTAGAGGATAAGTGAGAAGACAGACATTTCAGTTTGGGATATGCTGAATTTAAGTGCTTATGGGACATCGGGACATATCCAGTAGGTAGTTACAGAAAGCTAGAGATATACATTTGGGTGTCACTAGCATAAAGGTGGAAGCTATAATCATGGGATTTGGATGTTTAATCACTGTGACTATGGAGGGGGGAGACCCCAGAGAACACTAATATTTAGGGAACAAACCAAGGAAGAGATGACATAGGAAAACTAGGCAGTAGAGTCTAGGGAGCTGAGAGGAAAACTTGGAGAGTACTGTCACAGAAGAGTATTTTCAAGAGTTCAAGAACATGGGAGAAGTTAGCAGTGCCAAATGTCACAGAAGTCATACAGGGGAAAGAAAGTGCATTATATTTAGTCATATAAATATTATTGAGAGTTTTAATGGGATTTTTAAAAAGGAAAATAAAATGAGCAGAGTAAATGAGATGATTATATAAGGATTAACATACTTTTAATAGGATTTTGATAATATAAGATTGCTCAAGTGCTGCATAACCACATTTGGTCAATGATGAACCACACATACAGCCATGGTCCCATTAGATTATAAAGGAGCTGAAAAAGTCCTATTGCCTAGTGACAACATAGCCCTTGTAACACATTCATAACTCACGTGTTTGTGGTGATGCTGGTGTAAACAAACCTACTCCACTGCCAGTCATATAAAAGTTGAGCATATACAATTACATACAATACATGGTACTTGATAATGATTTAAAAAATGACCATGTTACCGGTTTATGTATTCACTACACTTTTTGGCGTTATTTCAGTGTACTATTTCTACTTCTTAAAAAGTTTGATGTTACACCCGCTACAGTCTCATACGTCTCATGTTTACAGAAATCTCTTCATTGCATTATTTTCTTTTGTGCTTGATTTAATCTAAGTAGTTTTGTATGGTAACATGTTGTACAGGCTTGTAGCCTAGGAATAGGCTGTACAATATATGTGTGTAGTAGGCTACACCATCTAAATTTGTGTAAGTACACTCTACAATGTTCACACGACTACGAATCGCCTAATAACGCATTTCTCAGAATGTATCTTCATCCTTAAGCAGTACACGACTACAGTCTGCTGGAGAGCCCCAGCAAGAAACATGATAAAAGAATATATAGGTCTAGGAAAAAGGAAGAGGAAGGTCCTCAAAAGGTGAGAGAGGATTCAAATCTTCAAGGGGACAGGAGGGTAGGACAGGAATGATTAGAAAAGGGTTTCCTCTAGATGGAGGAAGAGACGGTTACAAATGCAGATAGGTCTAACCCCCAGCCTAGCCTCCGAAACTAAATTGTTCAAGCTTCTTTCAGGCAGTGCCTATGTTTGATTACATATGTATATCTCGTTAAAAAAAAAAAAATGCGTCCCTGCTGGGGACTCAAAAATATGAATAAAAGCGTAGCAAGACACTGAGATGCAGTACGAGGTCAAAACCTTTTACCTTTCGCACACTATCTCTGCTACTGCTGCAGGCCCAACCACTCCCATGGATCCTGCGACGGGGCTGAGGTCCAGGCAGACAACCAGAAACTTCCAGCGTTTGGGGATATCACTTTCATACCCAATATCTAGGCGAGCACTACACACCCACGCCAAAAGGGGGCGGGCCCCACCAGTCTTCTCGGAAGGGTGGATGAGCGGTACTGACCACCGCAAAAGCCCAATGCCCGGGCAACCGGGGTGGAGGGACTCTCAGCAAAGCAGAACGTCCAGGCCTGGGCGGCGCGGAAAAAGCCCCTAATGGAGCGCGCTCCCCGATGCGCCGCTACGCAGGACACGGCCGCGCCCCCGCTGCCGCCCTCGCCCTCTCCGCCTCACCTGGGTCCCACCGCTGCACCTGCTTCCCCGCCAAGCGACCCTCAAAGGCCTCTTGGGCAATAACGGCAAGCCGATCTCACCTCACCAGCCGTTACCTCCCGCACCTCCGCAGCGTCCCGCTCGCAGCGACTCACGCCGGACCCCGCCTTCGTGGACTTTCCCACAAGTCCCCGCGTGCCCTCGCCCCGCCCCCTGGAGCCCAAGCGGAGCGTGCGCAGAAGGTCAGATACAATCCGCCGTCTTTCTCCCGGTCGAAACAGCTCAGAGAATTGACAGGTGTGTTAAAGCGAAATCTGATGCGTTGCCTGCTTCCAATATGACTAAATTTCACAAACGATAACCCAAACTCGGCAGGATCTTCCTGACTTCTTCTGATTCCCAAAATAGTAGTGCCTTGAATATTTCTTTGACTTCCTTCAAATAATTTTATCCTTAATATTTGCCTTCCTGGATATGTCACTACTTTAGTATGATAATCATGTGAGAAATTTACTGTTTCTCTACCGTGAACAGACTATACAAACAATGGCAATTTTTCAGAGTTTTTTTCCCCCTTAAGTACGTATATTTGGCAAACCAGTTCTTCAGTATGGCTCCCTAGCACCTTTTTGCAAGTAAACTCTTTCCTTTTCTAAGTGTCTATCTTTGAGTCTTTCTAAAACGTGTGTGAGTATTAAGGTTTGTCTTTGGATGTGCCCTGATTTACAAAGCTGAAAGAATATGAAGCTTTTAACATTTCTTGTTTCTGCTTCCTGTATGAGTGAGCTTTATTTTTTTCATTTGTATGACAACCCTAAAATTGTAAAACAAACATAATTTTTAAAGTCCACGAAAACGGACAGAAACAAGTAAAACTTTCCAATTTGAAACAGCTCTATGATCTCAAACATTAGCCCAAAAATCCAGATCTGTGGCTCTCAAGCTTGGCTCAACTTTGGAATCACCTAGGGAGTTTAAAAATAATAATAATAATTTCTAGGTCCCACACCCAGAGATTTTGATTTAATCAGTGCAGCCTGGGCATCATGATTTTTTAAAGCATAGGATACAGTTGTGCAGTTGAGACTGGAAACCACTAATTCAGATAGTACTCCATGAAAAACCACCCTGGAATCCTCCCTTACAAGGTCATATCATTAGCACATCTTTCTCACTGTGTAATTATTTGGTATCTTTGTATTTTAAAGTTACAGTAATCCAATTATTAAGTGTCATTAAAAATATTTACTAATGGAATGATTCTTTTGGGTTTTTTTTGTGTGTGTTAATAGGATAGATAACTGACTAAGAGTGTTTTGTGTTTTACAATTAGTAATAAAAATTTTTAAGATACACTGATTTTAAATGTTCTTAACAAAAGCAACTATTTTTTAAAATTAATTCTGGCAGAATTGGTTGAGAAGGGAGCCAGCTGGCTGTTCCAGTAAAACGTAATAGACTCTTGGGTGAATCTTCTTTCCTTTCTCTCTCAAGTCACGTAATAATAAGGTTGTATTGATATATTCTCCGGCTCAGAGACTCTTTCCTCAGCTATGTCCAGTCTACTAATAAATCCATCAAAGGCATTCTTCATTTCGTTTACAGTGGGTTTTTTTTTTTTTTAATCTCTAGCATTTCTTTTTGGTTCTTTCTTAGGATTTCCATATTTCTGTTTACATTGCCCATTTGTTCTTGCACGCTGTTTTATTTTACCCATTAGAGCCCTTAGCACATTAATCATAGGTATTTTAAGTTCCCAGTCTGATAATTCCAACATTCCTGCCATGTCTGGTTCTAATATTTGCTCTTTCTCTTCAAACTGTATGTTTTGCCGTTAGGTATGCTTTGTATTTTTTTTCCTGATAGCCAAACATGATGTACCGGTAAAAGGAAGTGCTATAAATAGGCCTGTAGTAATGTGGTCGTAAGGTGTGGGAGGCGGAAAAGCATTTTATAGTCCTATAATTAGGCCTCAGTCTTTTACTGAGCCTATGCCTCTGGACTATGAGTTTCATAGGTGTTTCTGTCCCATAGATGCGACAGATGGCTAACGTGGGCTGGAGTTGGGTATTTTCCATCCCCAGGTGAGTTAGGCTCTGATAATACCCCAGCAGGTTAGGTTCTGGTTGACTAGTTACCCCTGAGGACAGGCTTTGTCAGGAAGGATGGAGTGCTGAGTGCTCTGGAGGATTTTTAAATGGTTTCTTTTCTCCTGGCTGTGCCAGAGCTTGAAGCAATTTTTCTCAAACATTTAGTATGGGAACCTGATTGAACTCTTGTAGGTAAATCTCACAATATTGTGGGGGCCCATATGACTGGGTCCCCTAAAGTTTTTAACTTTCAAGGCCATCTGCACTGAGCCTCCAGCAATTTGTCAATTATAGTTCAGCTGTTCGTACCCCAGCACTGGTATCCTCTCCAGAGCCTCTGCTCTAGTAAGTTTTGTCTCCCTATATTTGCCTGTCTTTCCAATCTTGAGGACAGAGGTTTGTCTGTATCCTCTCCTCTTTTATGGATCCAATACTGGTTTTTCAGTATGTTCAGTTTTTTATTTGTTAGGATGGAGTGATGACTTCCAAGCTCCTTAAATGCGGAATCAGAAGCCAGAAGTACACTCCTTCTGCCGTGTACATTACAAGTCCACCAAGAAGAATTCTCTTCCCATCTTAGCTAGAGAGACTTGGTAAGAGTCCTCAGGGACTTCATCAAGATAGCACATTCTCTAGGCCATCCTGAAGAGACAGTAAGAAAGCAAGAAGCATCACTCTCAGCCCTACTTCAGGGAAAAGAGAGACAGACAGTTGAAAGGGAGCAATTATAAAAAAGAGACACATTTCAAACTTTCTTAAATGATTTTAATTGGAGACTCGAACCCTCTGAACTATAGTTCAAGCCTGGCTCTATGGGACAGCATCTGATTCCAGTGGGGTTAGGGAAGAAATGCATAATTGGAGTTGCAATCCAGTCTCTCTGGTCTTCCATTCTAGAGTTTATGCAAATTATAGCTGCTCGATAAGTCTTAAAATAATTATGTTAATGACATAAAGCTATAAGCCCCTTTCTTCTTCAAATGCAAAATCTTCCTCCTATGAGAGAACTTACACAAACGATTTGGGATCAAAACACAGCTCTGTAACTGCACTAAATATAAGCAGCAAGATTCTTGATGCAGTTACTGAACTGGCTGAAAAACCCTCAGGCCCGGAGAAATTGACTTCTCCCCCAGACCACTCACTGCACCAACCTGTTATCCTCTCCATCCAGCATTCGAGTTCTCCCACACCCTGTTCTGAGAGGATCTGACCCTAGAAATGACCATGATTTCCATGTCTTCGTTGAGGCCCCAACATAGGGGGCCTCAACGAAGGGTTGAATTACAGTTTGCAGAGCTGTGTACAATAACAGCCATTATAGTAATCTTGAATTTCTACCAGCCGTTCTTCCTAAGAACAATTGATAACACTTTCACAGTAATAATCATCAGGTTTGCCCTCTCACCAACCCCCAAAACAAGAAAGAAGGCAAACCCCTTTCCTTTACATTAAAAGGAAATACGAGGCCTGGAGAGGTCAAGGACTTGTTCGCGGTTCCAGCTCACATCAAGAGAAAGAGCTATTGAGGGCCCCAGCTTCTCTGAATGCTGTTTCCAAAACGCTGGAGACGAAGATTTGACTGTTTCTCTGCATTTTTCTAATTTGTATCTTTTCTCTCTTTCCCATATGGGTATTTCTGGATTTGGGAACCCCTCACAGTCTCCTCCCCACTCCAGTCCAGAGCCGAAAGCACCTCAGTCCTAAAAGAGCTCTCACTGCCTTCATGCCCCCTTCTGGCTCCAAGCTCTATCGGGTAGAAGACACCACGTAGGCTGTGGCAATGTACTTCTTGCCATTTCCGTAGGTGGACTTGTCCCAGGTATAGGTCTGGATGGCCAAGGGATGTCCACCCAGGCTTAACTGGCACCTGTGAAGAAAAATCATCAAATCACAGAGCCCTGCTTCACCTTGCCTCTGTCCCCAGGCGGGAAAGGTAAAGGCCAACCTATGCAGAAGGGCTCCACCGTGACTTAAAAGGCCTCTAACGGCCACAGCTTGCTTCAGCCACTGCCTCCAGCTCCCCTGGAGTGCAGGGAGTCCTCTCAAAATCTATGCTTCACTTTCTATCTTCTTTAAGAACACCACTCCTCATCTTTCCCAGAGCAGTATTCTAAAATCCCAGATTCTAGAGCTGAATCTCCAGAATTTAAATGTCCGCTTAGGCTTTCGGAAGTAGCAGGACCTAGAGTCCTCAAGTGCTAGAGAACACGAGGCCCAGTGGTTTCAACTGTCCTCTTTGGGGCTCTAGAATTCCCTCAACCAGCTTTGAGGGGGCGGGGGGAGGCAATTAGGAGGCTCAGAGTGCCAGGGCAACTCCATTTCTCACTGTCTTATGTTTAAAAGTCTTGCATAAGGTTCTGCTGCTCAGATGAAGAGTGGCAGCCATCAGTCTAATCTAACAGCTTCATTTCCCAAGTGAGAAAACTGAGGCCCGGAGTGGTGATTTGTCCATGCCCTCTGAGCCACCGAGTAGCGGAATCCAGGTCTCCTGACGGTCCTGGCTGAGGACACCCTGCAGCCCCAGCCTTCTCCCCAGGCCGGGCTGGCCCAGTACTCACGTTTTGCCTGGCCTGGCGATGAAGCATAGGGAGTAGAGTGCAAACTCAAACTCGGGGCTGCTACCGATGAAGGCTGAGCCCACTTCTTTATAGTAGCCATCCCAGTTGAACTGCATGGCTAATACATCGGGGTAAGACTCCCACTGTGGAGAGAAAGGGGGTCTGGTGAATGCCACAGAGTAGAGGCAGACTGAGGGGTGGCAAATGGCAGCAGTCAGCCAGGCTTAGTTGAGGGCCCATTAGGGGCCTAAGTGAGCTTTCTGAGGAGGCTAGATTCTTTAAATCAACAAAGTAAAAGTCTGCCCTGCTATGGTGTGTAAGCCCCACTCAGACCCTCTGTCTGGAGCTGCCAGAGCACATATCCCAGGGAGGCCAGAGTTGGCATCCATATGACCAATGCCTGGGGAGCAGGTACACAACCGTTCCCTGTGGCCCTGACATGTGAAAGAGAAGAATCATTTATTGCCTCCAAATTATTTCCTGTTACAGGTAGCAAAAGTTTCTTTTTTATAAAATATAAGGAGTTTAATTCAGACCAGCCAAACTGAAACTTCCAGCTGACACCCCATTCTAAGGAAATTCAGGCAGGAGGTAATTGCATGTCTTTGGTTCTTTCCTCCGATAATCGTCCCCTGCCCTCACCCTCTCATCCAGAGATGGTGCCCGCTGCCTCTTTGCCCTGTAGTTGTGGAGCCTTCACTATTTGGAAGGGAATCCCAGCATCCTGGCTGGCTAAACTTGCTGTCCAGCAGATGGGGAAGACATATTCACAATCCCTATTAGGCTGCCAGTGAGGGTCAGATGACAGACAAATCTGACAGTTTGGAATGTGGAATGAGGGGAGGAAGTCCGGGTACTAACAGGCTTTTCCAGCCCTTGGGATCAGCACTCAGTACTCACAGGTCCATCATAGATGTGACTGTAATAGTCAACCAAGCCCTCCTTTTCTTGCATGTAGAAGCGGATCCAGTTATGGAAGCCAGTGACCTTGCCTTTTTTGACTTCACCTGTAATAAAGAGTCCAAGGTGGATGATCCCTTTCCCCTCTCCCATGCCACGGCTGTCCCCCCATCTCGAGTCTCTGACTCCTAGATCGTTCACCTACTCAGCCTCTTGCCCCAACTTCCCAGAGTCTCTCGCATCCCTAACTCTCACCTCAGGAGGGCCCCCATTTGGGTTTAATCCCTTCGTGAGAATTCCTCTTCCCAGCTGACCCTGGTTACCAATTTGAAGTACTCCTCTCATCCATTTCTCCAGGAGCAAGCCAGACTTGATGGGAGCTTTATGGGATGGGGCAGTGGGAGAAAGATGAAGGCCCCCTTGGGAAGCCGCTGACCAAGCCCTGGAAGCTGAGGACCATTTAGAGGTAGACAGCCATGGCCCTAAACACACCTTCCTTCCTACGTGTGCCCTTGGGAGCCCCAGTATCTGGTCATCTTTCTCCCTTAGATACTCCAGACAGATTATTCCTCAATCCTTCCCTCTTGGCCTGAGTAGATGTGTCCCTCCCCAGTAGTTGGTGTGGCTGCGTATTCATCAATGTCCGATGACACCCTGCTTCTGAAGGAAGTCACCTCTCTTCACCTCTCCAACTCTTTCTTTCCAAGCAGAGTGATCCCACCTGAGAAGACGTGTTCAAAGCCACTTGAGTCCCCCTCTTCATTGCCTCTTGAATAGAGCCCAAACCACATGTTCTTCAAGTCATTGACGAACTCTTGTTCTGAGCTGTAGCGGTCTGCGGGGAGGAACACAGAGGATTTAGGAGAGGGGAAGGCAAGGCTAGATTCTGGGAAGCAAAGAAGGGCCACCTGCTCCAGCATGTCAAGAGATACATGGGTTCAACCAACAAATATATTCAGTTGTTTGTTCAATAGTTATCTACGGGGAATCTGTTTTGTGCTAGGCCCAGATCTAAAGTCTGAGAATTCAGCAGAGAACCAGAGAGATAAGATCCCTGTCTTTATAGTCCAGTGGAAGAAATGAATAATCAACAAATAAATAATAAGTAAACAATATGATTTCAGAAAAGTACTATGAAGAAAATAAAGCAGATTATTCTGTGATGACTCGAGGTGGGGGTGGGGGTAGAGGGCTCTTCTAGAAAGGAAGATCAGAAAGGTCTCTCTGAGGAGGTAGTACGAGTCAGAAACCTAAAGGATAAGGAGCCGGCCTTGCAAAGATCTGGGGCAAAGATTCTTCCCCATAGAGGGAATAGCAAGTGCAAAGGCTCCAGAATGACTTGAGTTGGTGTTCAAAGAGCTGAAAGAAAGTCAATGTGGCTGCAGCAGAGTGAGCGGGAGGGGAAGGTGGTAGGAGAGGAGGTTGGAGAAATAGGCAGTGGCCAGATCGTATAAGCTGTGGCAAGAGGGTTGGATCTCAGTCAAACAGTAATAATAACAAAAAAGTATTTTCGATTTACTGAGTATGTTCTGTGTGCCTGGCAATGTTTTAAGTGCTTTCATTTCTCAGAGCGAAACTTCACATCAGGTTGGTACTAATTATCCCCAATTTAGAGATGAGGGAACTGAGGCAAACAAAGGTTATGTAACTCATAAAAGATTACACAATGAGAGTAGAGACAACACTTGAGCCCACACAATCTAGCTCAGAGACCAATCTCCTAATGACTCTATAGCTTCTTGGTGGTGGGAGAGCCACTGGAGGGTTTTAAGCAGGGAAATTATGATCTAGGAACTCTGTTTTTAAAGGATCACTCTGGTTGTGTGTGTAAAAAGGTCAACGGGGCATATAAGCAGCAGAGAGACCAGTTTTGAGGCTAATTCTTTGTCCATTCACAAGTGGTGGTAGCTGAGACTTCAGTGGCAGCCATGAAGAGGGGGTGAGAAGCAGGCAAGTCAGGGATAGATTTTGAAGGTGGAAGTGATAGATGTTACTGGTGAGGAAATGGGGGTGGGGAACAGTGAGGTAAAGAGAAGAATCAAATATAACTCCCAAACTTCTGACTTGAGCAACTGGATGAATTGCGGTGTCATTTGTGAGATGGGGAAGACCGAGGAAGAGGCAGAAACCATGAGTTCTCTTTATACTAAGTTCTGAAATGGTGCCTATTAGATAGGTAGAGATGTTGAAAAGGCAGTGGGGACCCAAAGGAAAGGTCAGGGGTGGGGATCTAAATTAGGGAGCCATTAAATATTGACTGTTTACTGCCCAGAATTGTGTGTGGAGGATACAAAAGAGAAACCAGACATATTTCCTTTTGAGGACTTAAAACACAGTTGGAAGCAAGACTAAATATACACGAAATAACTAAGAATGGTTTCACAGTCTGAATGGCTACCACTTACTCAGTGCCAGGCTTTCCACTGAGTGATTTACATGCATTAATCCTCCATGACCCCATTTCACAGTTAAGACTCAGGTAACATAACTTGCCCAGGGTGGCACCACTAGTAAGTGGCAGAGCATGGAGTCAAAACAGGTGTCTCTGGTCCAAGGCTATTTGGGCCTATACCCTAAGCCTCTGACCTCTGAAAGGAAGCCAAAAGCAAGCCGTGAGCCAGGTCAAGTGCAGCTTTTTAAATGTGGTGGGATATGAAGTATAACTTTAAGGACAAGTGGAGTTTGGACAGGGAGAGGGGTGAAGACAGGGTGAGTAATGGAACAGCTTGGCCTCGGTATCGAAACCCTGAGTTCCAGCCTGGCCTTGCTTACAACTTCCTTTGTGGCCTCTGAGAAGTAACCTAGCCTGTTTGGGCCTCCATTTTTCTCATTTGAAAAGTCAAAGGGCTCAGTCTTGACCAAGAGTCTCTCGTGTTTACTACAAAGAGAACACCAGGGGGCAGCGCAGGACTGCACCCTCCTCACAAGGATGCCTTGGTGCTTCTGGCTTTACCTAAAAACAGAGCATGTTACTAAACTCTTAACAGAGAAACACAGATGGAATGCAGCAGCCATGAGTAGAGGCAATCCCACAGCCAAGGAGAGAAGACCTGGACAGAGCCACCCCTGAGGCAAAGCTTAGCTGCCTAGAGCTCAGGAAAGGAATCTTCAGGACTCTAACAAACACTACCCATGCCAAGAAGTCACTTGGCCTCAACCAACCTTTTTTGGTCTGATTTTAATGTATCTCTATCTGGAGCCCGTCCAACCAGAATGCTCCTTGCTAGAACTTCCCCCTCTGAGCCTTTGTTGATTTTCTGTTGCTGTTTACACAGTGAAAATGTGGAATGGGCCAGCCTCTTTCCTGGACTTAGAGCAGGAGGAGGGAGCAGAATCAGGGACTCTCTGAACCTGGAAAGTGGTGCTGACGCTAGGGTCAGCTGAAGTGGCTGACAAGTGCCCTGTGTGGAGTGGGGTGGCACTCAGCCCTGCAGAGGACCCTGAGACTGAAGCAGCGAGTTAGGGCATAAACAAGGCAGCTGAGAAAAAATCAAAAGATGGGGTGACTTCCAAAACAGAGAACTCCTCAGCTCCTGCTTGGTCCATGATCTCTCTGGGCTCCTCTCTGCCCCCCTTTCTCAAGTATACACCAGCCTTCAGCACTGCCCTCATTCTTAACTTCCCCACCCATATCGTGGAGCCCCCAGGGGTGCCTGGCTCTCCTGCAGAGAGACTTGAGTCCTCAGCACTGCCTCGTGAGGCCTAGGGAGGGCGGCTTACTCTGGTGATGGAGGAAGCCGTAGAGTTCCTTCATGACTGCCGTCTTCATGACCTCTCTGAGAAAGGTGTCCTGTTCAGCCAGCTGCTGGGCACTGAAGTGCTCCCCACGGCCCGTTGCCCGCTGGTAGTTGTTGAGGAGGTTGATGAAGGCTGCATAGGTCGGCTTGGAAAACAGCTTCTCATTGACATATGTGAAGAGCCTGGGGAGGCGGAGAGAAGCCCCGTGAGAGGCCTAAAGTTGGAGCAGAAACCCCTCCAGGAACTGGCAGATGGGCCAGGGCGGGCCACTGATGGTTGGGTTTAGGATCAGAGTGGATATACTCTTGAAGGTCATGCATGAGGTCGCTCTCTTCTTACACTTCAGCTCTAAGAAGGTCAGTTCTGTTCTCAGCCTGGCCAATCACAGAAACCCTCCTGACTGAATACCCACAGTCCCTTAAAATGGCTTTATTTGTCTCTGGAGACCTATTTTTTTCTCTCCCTTTGATCCTGCCTGCCTGGAAGAGAAGAGAGCTGAGTCATCAAAAGAAGCAAACTTGGGAGAGAGACTTTGCAGGAAAGAGGAAGGAAGGGAACTCACGGCTCTGGGCAGTGGTCCACTTGGTCCCTGGTCTCGGAGGGCGAGATGCGGTTTTGGCTGTTGAGAACGATGTCTTCCTTCTGGGCTTTGTTGATGTCTGCCCTGTAGATCTTCTCAGAGATGCCCTGCAGCTCCGCCTTGGTTATGGCATCACTGCTGCGGGAAAAGCCCTCTAAGAGGAATTGGGGGAGGGGTGTCTCAGAGCCAGAGGGAGGCCAGGGGGAAGCAACTGTCTGTGTGCATCCCCTTCTGGGCACCATCCAGAAGCTGGTAGGAAGAGAGAGGGGCTGCAGTCAGGCACCCTAGTGGTCAGAGGGCAAGGGCCTCAAGCCTAAAGGATCATTAAAATGAGCACATGGCATTGCCCACAGAATGTCCACACTGCCCCCTTCCTTTAGGAAGGTTCTCAAACTTTGGCATGCATCAGAATCACCTGGAGGACTTGTTAAAACAGATGGTGGGCCCCACCCCCAGAGTTTCTGATTCAACTGGTTCAGGGTAAAGCCCTAGAGTTTCTATTTCTAATAAATTCCCAGATGATGCTGATGCTGCCGGTCCAGGCACCCCACTTGGAGAACTATTGCTCTAGAGAGTCCCTCTGTCCCTGGGGCTATAGTAAAAGGAGTAGGAGACTGACCGTGGCCACATTGGCTCTCAAAATCCTTGCAGCAGTTCCCAAACTCTGGGCAGCGGGCATTGCAGTGGCATGGGTGGTGCCTGTGGAAGGCTTCATGGCAGCGGCCCCGGCAGGAGTTGGGTGCTGAGTACAAGTCTGAGAGAACAGGGGGAGTTGTGTGCTGGGAAGACCTCTAGAGGTCGCTCCATCCCAGCTAGTTCCTCACTCGGCCTGGCTGTCCTTACTCCTATTCAAGATCTCAAGGGAAACAAAACAAACAAGCTTCACTGGTGCACACCCTTCACACTCAGGAAGTTCTTTCTGATTCCGAACTCTATTTTCTGTCCTGTTGTTTTTATAATCTTCCCACTCTAAAAATAAGATCTCTTCCACTTCCCTCTCCGGCCTCTCTGCAGGCCTCAGGCTCTCCTTCCTGCCGACTCCCCACCCCAAGCTGCTGAGGCCCCCAGGCTTCTTTCCATCCAGGACCCAGAGTCCAATGAGCCCCTCTTAGCACCTCCAGGTGCTGGGTTTGGGATCTGTCTGGCTTGGACCTAAGCCTGTTGCCGCTGGTATGGCTGCCCCCTCCCCTGTCACCCTCGCATATCTTTCTTTATCCTGAAGGTCCCCTGTGGGGAGGCAAACTCACTGCTAGCCGGGGCCTCCTCTGCCTCTTCCTCCAGCTCCAAGAATGCCTCTGGCTCTTTGGGGTCCTCTTCAGCTGCAAAGCAGAGACATCAAGTGACCAACCATCCCTGACAGTTCCCTCCCCTGTATCTCTGGTTCTCCCAGCCTCAGAAACAAGCGTGTACAGTAGAAGAAGACACAAAACAAGGGCTAGGAGACAATGAACAAATACCAAGTAAAAGAGGAGAAAAACTGAAAACGGAAGACAGAAAGAAACAGATTATTGAAAACTGTTATAAAAAGTGCAAAGACTCTCCCCAATGACAACCCTCCTTACCACTTTACCATTCTGATACTCAGTGTGCTCATTTTTAAAAAGGAGAGGGGTAGACAGGCAGTGGTCCCTTCTAGATTGAAAACTCAGATTTGGTTTATGACTTTTCTTTAATGAAAGTCGATAGAGGGATAGGCTTTATATTCTCCAACTGACAAACCCCTCACTCAGGAACATCCCATACCTATACTAACTCCCAGTCAAAGTCAAGGGTGAACTCCTCCCAGAGTCTCTAGGAATAAGAACTGCTTCCTGAGTTACCAGCTTCCCTTCTTTCTTTGCAACACTTGACTGTGGTCACAGAGGCTGTGTATGGGGGAGGGCATGTTCAGAAAAACACATTTCTAATAGCTGCTCCATTCCATCAGCCTGCATGCTGAGTGACTGCAGCCTCCATCTGAGCTGAGAAGGGTGAGGTGGGGATGAGGAAGAAGATGAGGCATGTTCCTGGAGATGCTGAGCTCCTCTCTCATCACACAGTGGAATACTTTCCTCCAAAGATATAACACTATGACAAAGTGATTCCGAGTCTATTGGTGAGTTCACCAGGAAAGACTGTGTTATTACCACCAGAAACATGCGTTATTCATTCAGTCAACAAACACCTCCCTATCACTTACCTTGTGCCACGCTGTGTTCTAAGTGCTGACAACCCACAGGGTTCTTAACTCAGCCACACTTTATGCTGATAGACTTTCGTGAGCTGATCTAGAGTCTCAGTCGTCAGTTATAATATTTCAAGTTGCAAGTCAGAGAGTTAGAGAAGAAATGGCTCCCAAGTTAAGTATTGTCTCTACCTAGAAATGCCAGCCTGCTGGTCCGAGGTGAACAGGCCGTCCTATGTCTGCTGAATAGGCACAGGCTGGCTTAACAGGTACCACCTTTGGGCAAATTAGGAAAAGGCACTCCTTTCTCTCAGCAGGCACAGATCGGCACCAAGGCACATGGCTTAGCAAGAAGGATACAGACTCAAATGGGTTTAATTTGCCTTCTCAGCCAGGTGCCCTTGTACAGTACACAACCTGCACAACCATATGCAGTGGTCTTGCTGGCCATTATCTATCATGGCTTCAGCGACCATGGTTTTCAAACTGGGAGTCATGACACATGGTTTGACAGTGAACTTAGCAAGGCTTCATGTCACAATGCAGAAGATCATTTATCTGGAAGTCTAAAACATTGGCAACATACAAAAAAGAGATTATTCAAAATGATTTTTAAAAATAATTCATTTAAAATTGTGCCATCGAAGTAACAGAGGAACGATTGGCTTTTGAGGGCAGTGCATGTCCCATTTAATCGCTGGACCAGGAATGACAGGTTGGAGATGTCGCGGCCACTCGGTCTACTCACTGTAGATAAAGCACTATGAATCGTGACCGTCACTGTGATGCCATGCAGTCTTCCTGGTGGCGCGCAGGTTGGAAAAGTTCACTGCCATTTTTGCATGCTTTTGCAATTTAAAGTGTTGAATATCAATTGTTAATATAATACATGCTAAAATAGTATTTTTATCATTTTTCTTTTTTGGAATTAATTACACTTTGAAGATACTATTAATCTTGATGGATCAGATAGATAGTCCAGGTAAATGACATCTATTTTATTTAAGTTTGGGTTTTACACTGGGGACATCCTAGAATAACTGGGACAAGTGGTGGCCAAATCTCTGCCCCTGCTGTGCCCCTCAGTGCCCTCATCTCAGGCATTTTGAGCGCCATCTTGAGTCCTGAACCCTGCTCCAGGCTTCTGGAGAAGTGGCCCCTGAAGCCAGTGGCCCCCCAGGTAGACCGGGCATGGACATGGCCTAGGCTGCCATGCCTTCCATACCCGTCACCCCACAAGGACCCTCACCAGTACACAGGTGCTCATAGTCTTCACAGCAGTCCCAGTGCCAGGAACACCGGTGGTCACATTGGCAGGCAGCATCTCGGTTAAATTTCTCATTACAACGAGATGCACATGAGTCCAGTTTTCCTATGGGCAGGAAAGTCACAAACTTAGCTCTAGGAAGATCCTATTCTTATCAAGTTACTCTCTGTGGTAGAGTTCACAGACAAGGGCAGGACCCCGACCTGGCAGGGAAGGTCATTGCTATATTCAAGGGAGAAGTACATCCACGGCTTCCCATGCACAACATAAGCCCTCTCCCACTGCTATCTACAACCTAGCACCCACCAAATATTGCAAGGCTCATAATATAGACCAGGATCACAAACTCAAATGCCTACTGGGGCTAGACATGTATCATAAATGAGTAAAAAAGCAGAAAGGAGGTAGGAAAAAGTGGGGCCTGTGACGAATTTGGGAGCGATGCTCTGCCTGAAATTGGCAGCCACTGTCAGCTCTATCCGTTTGCTGCTATGTTGGGATGCAGGTTCAGTGTTGCCAGAAACTCCAATTTTTTTAAGAGAAGCCTTAATATTTATGTAAAATTTTCCACTTTAAAAAAAAAATCAGGCAGAACCAATGAAAGAGGTCTGAGGGCTGAGCATGGCCCGCAGGACACTCTTCACCTGTCCTGTAGATGTATGTGAGTCACTGCTGCTCCTATGATCCCACCTGCCCTCTCCCCTCTGACTCATCCCCTTCCTTTCATCCTGTCCCTTTTATGTCTCCTGCTTCTTTGTTCTTCCCTCCCCTTAACCTGGTCTCCTCTGCACCCTATTCCCCTTGTATCACATCTTTCTCTTTCTTGAGTCTTTGGAATGCAATCAGATTAGTTTATGCTCAGGGTCGGGAATGAGGCGGGTGTGGGTAAGAATCGGCCTTCGGAATTAGTTTGGTTATGTAACCACAGACCACATCCCTTACTCCAGCCAAATGGCTTGTAGAAACAAGCTTTCAGTCACCAGGGGCATAAGACATGCAATTCTGAAAGAAGTGGTACACTACCCCTCTCTAAAAAAACAAGCCCTACCAGGCCCACCCCAGCAAAGACAGTGGAGGGGGCAAGCCAGGGTGACAGCTGGCTGGGGGTTGGGGGCACTTCCTTCCACTCTGGGCTTTACTGGGTGATGACAGAAACTTTATTTCCATCTGAGGTGCCTGAAGTTTGGATTTAGTGAGAGTTGGGGTTAGGGTCAGGCCGTGGATTACAGAGAATGTCAAGAACAGAGTCAGAGTTACTGTTAGCATTAGAATTTGTGTGAATGAGGAAACTGAAACCTAATTTGGGCCAGGGTTGGGGTTAGGTTTAGATTAAAAAATAGTTAGGATTTGGGCTTGAGTTAAATGTACTGATAAAGTAACAACTTTGTGTTGATGTTTGGGTAGGGAATGAGGGTGGTTTTAGGACTACATTCAGTGGGGTGGAATGTATCAGGATTAGGAGAGGAGAAATTAGCTGAGTTTTGCCTTAGATTAGATTTGGGATTTGGTTCTGATTGTGATTCCACTCAGGTATGGTATCTCAATTTAGCCTGGATTAGGATGGAGTTAAATATGGGGATATAGGTTTAGTTACTGGTTTGGATTGTGGGATTAGGGTTTATACTGTGCTAAGGGTGGCATAGTAGAGAGGTCAAGAACTGGACTCTGCCTCCAAAGGGCTTGGGGCTGGAATTCTGGTTCTGCTGCTTTCTAGCTATGCAATCTTGGTGAAGTTATTTGACTTTCTGTGCCTCAATTTCCTTGTCTGTAAAAGCGTGATAATGATGGAGCCCATCTTATAGAATATTTATAGAATTAAATTAGCTAATATTTTTAAAGCACTTAGTACAGTACATGACACAGAGTAGCACCATATAAGTGTTTTTTTAGATAAATACACGGTGGCAATATTCTGTGCCCATACAAGCTGGCAAGTATTCAGACTGAAGACATCTTACCTCCCTGCCAAAATACTTAATCTAGCTGACTCCTTCCCTGGGTTTCAACTGGGTCACCCCTTGGGCTGGGGTGTCAGTGCATTTACATTGCTGATGGTTTCTTAGCTGACATCATCGCTATAGGTCTGTTTTCTTTACATCAAAGAAATATCAAGACAAAACCCTAAGGCGATTTCATGTTCTGTACAGGGCCTCCAATGTGGCCAGGAAGGCAGGCCTCTCATCCAGTCAATTGTCTCTAAGAAAGACCAGGCCCAAGATCTCTTCAGGCCCACGGGAACTCCTCTTGAATCTTAAATGATGCTTCCTTGGGACCTGAATGCAAAAACCTTAAGGAGGTATTTTCAGCTTGGGAAGAAGGTTCTGTCAGCTGCCTGCCCAGTCAGCCTGGCAGTACACCCAGAATCCTACTGGAAATCCAATGTTTTTAATGGGCCAGATCAGCAGAGTCCAAAGAAAGAATTCACTCCATTCCAGCAGTTGGCACCAGTTGAGACAGGCTGTAAGTGAATAGCCAGCTCTGTAGCGCTCAGGAGAACACCCCCCACTGGCCCAAGCTGAGTGGCTTTTTCATCTCTGTTCAAGAACTTTGAACCCAGTAAGAAGCCCAGGCCAAGGATACTTCACACTTCCCTTCCTGAGCTTCAAAACAACCTTGGGATCTGAGGGTGGGGAGAGGGGTGGGAGGGACTTTTCCTCGTAGGCACCTTGCTGTACTGTTCTGGGGACACTCAGACAACTAGTCACCCTGACTACTCACACCAGCACCCCACTCCATGCCGACTTTTCACATAAACACTCTGTGTGTGCCTCACTCACCAGCCAGGCACCTGCATCACTGCTCCAGCTGCCTTCTGCCCCTCAGCATCCCTCTGTCCCACCTCTGACTCTCTTTTTCTGCCTTTCTTCATTTTGGCTTTTCTTCTCTCAGACTCAGATTCTCCCTCCATTCCCCATAAAGATCTTAGCTACAACCCCTCTCCCTATCCCTAACGAAATGCTAAATTTCTCTGTACCCTCCAAGACATAAATATGCCAGAATGCTCACTTCTCATCCATACTACCCATCAAGAAAGCCTAGTTCCAAGCCTGGGTGTCCCTATATGCCAGAGCTCAGCCCCTCTGATGGTTGTGGCATCCTACATCTGTGCTTCTCTAGGGGCCCAGATGCTGTTTCCATGGATACCTAGTCAACCAAGGAGATGCACTTCCAAGACCAGCTTCCTGCCTCAGTTCACTTGAAACAACCAAGGACCTGAGACTGACAATGACTCCCCCAGATGATTCATATTCATGCACTGAAGTTCTGAAATGTTGAAACAGGATAGACAAGAGCAGAGCCTCTTCCCTCCCATCCTAGGAAAGACAGAAGTATCACCCATTCGACCCTCACTTCTCCATCAATGCCACAGCCAGATCGGATCACCACCCCTAGAGTCAGGGCACCACCTGCACTTCTGAAGCCACTGTTGCCTCTGCCCTTAGGGTAGCCCACTCCCAGAGACCAAATGTCTCTGAGGTGCTTTCCTCTCCTGAACTGGGCTGTCCCAACCAGGCCGCCACCCCTCCACACTAAGCTAGAAGTTTTCATGCCCTCCCTCCCTCTCTCTCACTGGCTCTCTGCTACCAAACAGAGCTGATTCTCGCCTGCTCTGGGTGCCAGAGTAAAGAAACATGATCCTCCCAGTGCTAGGAAGCCTGGCAACAGCTTTTTCTTTGAAAGATTTACCACTTAAGAGTCCCATTAGGGGTCTCCTTATCCACAACCTACTAGAAATGGCTCCAAGAGTAAGTTTCTCCCAGGAATATTTATAATCATAATCAAAGCCCCCAATTCATTGAGATCTCACCTCATATAGGATGCTTCTTATACATTATCTTATTTAGTCCTTAAAACAGTCCTATATAGGAACCACTTGTGTTGGGTATCAAGTTCTGATCCTTTCTCCTCTGGGCAGAAGAGGATTCTCCCTACACCTCTCAGCTCAGCCTCCTCCCTTGGCACTCACTTTTACTCACCTATAAGCCAACAATTAACACATCAGCATCAGCATTTTGACCAGCTGCTAAACAGGAAAGAGTTCCTGCCCTCTGCCGGTCCCATCCCATCCCCTGCACTGCTGGTAGCTGTGAGCCAGGATCCTTCTCTATGCTTTAGTTCCTCTAACACTGGAACAAAGACTGATTCCTCTGACCACCTGGACAGCCCTAGATAACACATGGCCCACCTCTTGGTCTAGGGGCTCTCCTTCCAATTTTCCCTGAGCCTGTCCATCTCCTAAGACGTTACCCAGAGAAAGGTTCCATCACAGGCAGTGAAGGGGGTGACCAAGGGCAGCCAGGCCACTCAAACCCAGCAGACTACAGCCCGAGTTGTATACCATACAATGGCCCTGGAAAACAAAACCTTAGTAAGATCAAAAGTCAGGTTGGATTGAGATGTTTGAGGCTGGTCTTCTACAGTGTCAAGAAAGGGCTCTCATGATATTAGTTCATCAGCCCTGCAACTCCCTTCGCACAGTCCATTCCACTCCAGAGCCAACTCCTACACCTTAGGGAAGGACAGGCCTAAGGTGCTCCATGAATTTAGGACAGAGCTGACCCTCCCTTGTCACACTACTCTCACCCTCTACCAAGTTCCCCAAACCTCAGCTTCTTTATGCAGAATCCCTTTTTAGCCCCATCAGATAGTGACTTACCAGCCCAGGTCAGGCTGCAGAGCATGGCCACTATCAGGGGGACACAGGCCCTCATGGTACCCAGTTGGAAGCCAAAATGGGATCGACCGCTGGACTTTCACTATTGTCAAGATGAATGTCACAGCTCTCAAATGAGCCTTAATTCCCAGGCTGATCCTTATAAAGACATCAGAACTTGTGGATCTGGTACCTCCAGATCCTTCCAGAAAGAAAAAAGGGAGGGAGGGAGCCAAGATGGATAGCAGGCGGACAGAGGGTGGGGCCCTCCAGCGGTTTGAAGCCAGAGGGAAGGTGACTAAGCAGGGAGGTAATGCCAGATGTTTAGAACAGGTAATGCTAACCATTTGTAGATAGAAAATAGGTCATGCAAGCAGGCACAAGATGGGCCTAGTTTGAGGGGATTCTCTGTCCAAGTGAGGGGCACTCATGGGCTTACCTTTGGGTCATGCCCTCCAAACACCCACTTTCCTCTAAGACACAGGCTTGACCTTCCTACAGGGAAGGGGCTGGCTTCATCTTTGAATGCCTAAGACTTAACATGAGGAATATAGTAAGATGATCATCACAAGTCTGACAAACAGTAAGTGCTCAAGCAAGTGTTGGGGGGCAGTGGAAAGAGAGCTTGGGTCAGACTAATTACCAGGAAGTCACACATAGCTACATCATCCTAGAAATATTATGCAGTTGGGCCTCTAACTCTTACTGAGTAGGCATCTCAGCTCTTATGTGTTTCAGGTTCTCACAGGTTCCAGGTTAATGAGGCCAGGGAAAGGCAAGAGGTCTCTTAAAGGCAGCCAAAGGACCTACCCCTCTTCTGGGGACCAAAGCCCCACTCCCTTCATCCCCTATTCACACTCCTCTCCCCCGAAGACCCTCCCCCGTGAGAGATGCAGTTTCTCAGGGTTCCTTTCATCCTAAGTTCAAGAACAGAGATGTAGCCATTTGGGGCTGCCAAGTTTTCCCCTCTTAATAAAGGTTAAATAAATCTACTAAATAAAATGCCCTTCCCAGAGAGAGCACTGCATGGGGATTCTCGGCCCTCTCAAAAAAGAAAATTCTCATATAAAAATGCAAAACTGATGAACAATTGAGACCCCTCTGCGGTGATTTTTTTCTGAGAGTTGGGGAAGGGGAGTCCTCCTCAGCCAGTGTAGTTTAATAGTAGGTGGGACTTTCTCCGCTCTCGTCTTCAGTTTTCTCATCGTTGAAAGGATGGGGTTGGATCTGACACATCATTCCAAGTTCTCAGGCTTCCTGCTCATGTCCCAGGTCAAGCAGTTGTGGTGGGTTAAGGAGAGCACAACTCCTTAACTCCCCAACCCCTCGTGTGGAGACAAGACTGGATGTAGTGGAGAGCATAGCCTGGGCAATCCACCTTGCAAGGGACTTACCCTAGAAACACACCTGAGGAGCAAGCCTGGCTCTGTTCTCGGGAAGGAAGCCTGGTCAAAGGGAGTCGGAGCAGAAATGGCTGCTTTGTTTGCCTAAGTTTCATTTACACAACCTGAAAGTGAGCTGCCAAGCCATGGCCAGCCAGACTTCTCATCCTCCCTGGATTGCAGCACATGAATATATCTCTGATTCCAGTTGGCTTAGGGAATAAAGGAGGGTGGGCCAGGAAGCAATGACACCTCAGAATTTGGCATTGGATGGTCTGTCCCTTCCAAGGGCCCAGATAGGTGGACCTGGCTGAGGCCAAAGCTATCAGAATAGGAGTGAGATCTGGCTAGGGTTGCTCTGATGGCCAACTGAACTGATTGTGGGATGGAGCTTCGAGGGTGGGAGGGCTTCTCTCCATCAGGAGAACTTTAGGCCAGGAGCAAGGTTAGAAGCTGGGGAGACAATTAGACTGATCCCATAGAGCCAGATAGGTCATCTGAGGATCCACGCATTTCAGACTGGTTTCTCCAACAAGAACTACACTGTCAACTTAACAGCCATCACCAACACTGATGGAGCACTTATCATGTGTCACACACAAAGAGTTCCCTGTGTGCTCTTTCCTTCTTCTTCACTACAACCCTTAACAGGTACTATTGTTATCCTCATTTTATGATGAGGAAACTGAAGTACAGAAGCTTTGGGAGATGTGCCCAGGAGCACACAATTATTAAGTTATACAGTCAAAGGACATCCTGGTGAGCACTGATGCCACATCGCCCCTAAACATAACACCTTCAAAACGCAAACAGTGACCACTTTGTTATGTTTGGGTTACTATGCAAAGTGGTCTGGAATCAGATTCATTGGAATTAAAGGGACTTCAGAGGTCACCTACTTTCACTTCTCATAGGATGTTGCAGTGCCCTAAATAATCCTAAATGATTGTTCTATCACTACTTGAATACTTGTGGTGCTAAGGAATCCCACCCTCTCAAGGCTCATCCCCGCTTCCAAGATCTCAATCCCAAACCCCAGGACTTTACAACCCAAGACATGCTGACATGGGTGGAAATAGAACAATAGGGAGAAATCCATTCAGCCAATATGTGAGCATACACATCTGTACATTCATGTAAAGATGCTTCATAGATCAACTTAGATACATATATCAGTATATATGTATAGAGAAACAGGCACATTCAATTGTACTTCAGACAGCTTTCTCTTCCCGGCTGGCCTGGTCTCAACAGAAAACTCTGCTGCTCTTCCAAGTTCTTTCCCAGCTAGGTCCCCACATTTGCTTTCCACCTTGATTGGAAGCTTTTCCCAAAGAGCCACCCATGGGGGCCAGCCAGGAGACTGGGTCCTGGACACCTGGGGTTGGGGAGGATTATGAGAAGTGCATGGGGATGACATACCCATGAGGAGAACACCAACAGAGATGCCTCTTCCACATCAGGAAGTGAGGAGAGGGTACAGCTGTGGCCTCTAGAGAGGCTTGAAGGGTGGGGAGGAGGGTAAAGCCACCTGGGCAAAGGCTCCAGGAGTCAGTCAGTTGTCAATGGTATGGGGAATGAGAATTACACTAGCAAATATTTACTGGGTGCTCACTATATTCCTGGTCTATGCTGTTACTGGACCAGCAGGTTCAGGCTAGGCTGGGTTAGAAAACTGTTTTTGGAACTGATTGCTATCTAATGGGACAGAGGACAGAAAAGCCCTAGCAGTAAGTTGCTGTTTGAAGTAGACTCTACTGCTCTCTAGGCTACCAAAATGGTCAGGGGTCTGTCTGGACCAATAGGCTATGGGAGAGGCTGACACAGAGGAAATATGCCCAGGCCAGCCTATTACACTACCCTTGTCCTCTGTAAAACCAGGACCAAGTAACTTCAGCACAGGACAAGAGACTGGAAGAACCCTGCAGGTGAAGCCTGAAGTCACCTGCCAAGGGGGCCCTGGCTCCTGAAGATGCTGGGTCTCCAGCCTCCATCCCACTATGGCCTGCAAATGCCCCAGGATAGAGGCCCAGGACAGTCGCCCACATCTGATCACTTGTGAAGCACATCAGTCTGTAGTATCTTCCTATTGAGTCTTAGAATGGCTCCATGTGTGATTTTCTGATCACTTGCGAAGCACATCAGTCTGTAGTATCTTCCTATTGAGTCTTAGAATGGCTCCATGTGTGATTTTCTCCCACACTGGTTTGTATGCTCTGTACCACATGTGGGTTTTCAGACATTTCTTTTTAAGTTTGTGGGCAGCCCTGACATTCGGCATCACACTCACAGCCTGCCCTGGGCGCTTTAGTCAGACATACCGCCTGGACCATTCATTACAAATCCGAGGCTGTGCTTCTGGTTCTGCTGGCCAAGCCCCATGCCAGTCCTCTGCCTGGAATGCCCTCCCACCACTAGCCAGGCGTCCTCTCCTACTCAACTAGCCCCAGGGCAAATCTACCCTTCCACAAAGTCTTTCTCCCTCCAACCCTCAGGATCCCTCCTGTCTATGGGCTTAGTTCTTGATATCTGTACTGTGTGCGCCTTTGACACATCACAGCCACCTCTGATAGACGTTGCAGCCAACACACTGTCAGTTAATCTCTGCATTGCCATCTAACTTTTTATCCATACAGATCTTTCTTCAGCTCACCTCTGAAATTCCCTGAGACTGATATCCTGCTTCATGGGTCCCCTCTACTGCTTCGTATTGTCATCCAGTGTATGTTAGATAACATGTGCCTGGGACCAGGAATGAATGAATGAATGAATGAATGAATGAGCGAACTGAGCCTCTCAGTCCCACTTGTTATAAAGGCTTGAGGGAAGATGATAAGCAAAACAGAGAAAGCAGGTGGATCCCTCTCTGAGATCTGGAGGTTCCAGAGTTTATTTGTGGGAGGAGGGGATATTCAACGGCAGTGTATGGAATGAGGTCTAGGGATTCATCGTGTAGTTGTGTTTTCACAGCAAACACAGCATGTTCAGCTATTATATCTTTATTTAGGACAAATGGAAACCTGGGGAGGATCTAAACCCCCAAGCCACCCCTTGGTACCACCACTTGCGGGGGCCAGCTACTGCGGGGATCGGACAGAACCCGGGATTCCAACAGCTTCAAAATCTTCAATGCAGCAGATGACTCAACTTTATCTTTTTAAGATTCCCAAAGCATCTACCTGCCTGCATGTTTCGCTAGCTGTGCTAATGTTTGTTTCACACGGCCTAACAGTGATTACAAGATAAACTGTCTATCTCATGTCCTCAAACCTTGGTGGCTTTGGAGAGGGTCCGAAGGCAAAGATGGGAACAAAAGAGAAGTGGGTGAGACAGGCAGACAGTGATAAGGAGGCTCAGAGAGACAGGGAGGGTGTGAGCAAGGGCGAGATTGAGACAGACAGCCAGGTGGAGGACAACCAGGAGCCAGTTACTGGCATGAGGCGCCTCCCTGACCACTCGCCCCAGGTGTGCTGGCATAGCCAGCACACCTGTCCTCACAAAGACAATAACAGGACTGGCAGTAGTGGCCCCTGACCCATGGTCTGAAGATCTATGATCTTTCAAAATTATCATAATTATTGGACTAATGTAGTTGGACTAGGGGCGATTTCTCCCTTTCTCATCCACTCGTTGGTTCGCTGGACTGTGCTAAGCAAAGCAGACACAAGGGTGAGGAGCTCAGTATCTGATGGGGGAGGGAGATGATGGGCAAAGTATATTGAAAGCTAGGGTTCGGGTAGCAGAACACGATGCTGAGGCCACTGGTTCTAAAGCCAGACTGCCTGGGTTCAAATCCCAGCTCTGCCCTT